GCTTTTCAACTTGACGTCTGGGTGTATTGTCTCCTTCCTGAAAAGGCCTTATTACTGCTTCCACATATTGCAGAGTTCAATTTGAAGTTTCATTCATTCATTCTATCATTTGCAATATTCATAAAAATATTTTAATAAAAATAGTGTCTAGTGGAAATAGAGTAGTTCAGATATTAATCGACCCTATTTTCAAATCATTACGAATATCACTCTCATCAAAGTACTTGCCGTGCAGTGCTGCTAATGAGGACCTCTCCGATGATTCCAACGGGGGAAAAACTCAACAAGAGCGGGAAAATCGAGACCTAACCGCGTGCGTCGCACTCTGATCGACAACCGAAAACGCAGGAAGTGGAAGTGCCTTCGAAATTCTTTTCGAAATTGTAGTGGTGTTCAGATCGTCACTCGGGAGAAGCACGTTTTATTGGGATTAAAAGGGCTTCGGATAGGGAGGTTAGGTTCCGAAACTGTACCGCACCAAAGCAATGCCCTGAGTGGACTGAAACAAGCGAAGCACGCCGTCGAATAGGGATGCTGCGATCTCCGGCGCTCTCTTGTTTTTCTGTCCCTTTTTCACGCGGGAGAGAGGAGGAGCGACTTCTGGGAAACTTCAAAAGCTCGAGGGAGGCGAGTGAGGACGACTGAACTAGATATGCAGATGTGTTTCATTTTTCAGGCAAACAAACTATACTCTCAAACAATGAGGGCGTCGGCGTCTTTCCTTTTTGTCGAAAGAGCGATTTTCAGCAGTTGAAGATTGCATTCATCCTTTACTGAGTCCCCTACTTCATGTATTCAATCGTTTTTCGAAAACTGGTGAGTTTGCTGACTTTTACAAAAAAACTGTAGGAATATTTCGATATTGATAAGTTCCTTCAGATTATTTGAAATAATGTGATACTCCAATATCTACAGTCCATTCCAAAATATCATAGCAGATGTACAACATGGGTTTGCAGAAAACCACTCTGTCATGTATTTCATAATGTGTCTCTGGAACTTTGGGTGAAAAATTGCAGATTGACTTCATTTATACAGACATACAAAAAGCTCTTAATCGAATCGATTTGATTTCTCGATTCTTTGTTTGGTAAAACTCACATCAAAATACCTACTTGATGAAAAACACTATGAAGATAATGAAGGCTTCAAATTCGCTTTCCAGTTTCTGAGCGCCCCAAGGCTCCTTTTTGGGACCACTTTTGTTCCTAATTTTTATTAATGATTCAACTAAAGTAATAAAAAATTCGAAACTTCTTACGCCGATGACCTCAAATATTTGGTTAGTTTGATGATCTTAAGCGATCATCAATATGGCTTTCGCTTGATATTTCCAAGGTCTTTGACCATGTGTGGAATGTGAGTTTACTGGCAAAACTTCGATTCTATAGCTTCCACTAGTTCGGACTTCCATTGTCTACTATATAAAATGATTTGAAATCCCTGAAACAACTGAAAAAGAAGAACTGAAAATGAATAGCTGAAAATAACAATTATATTAACCAAAATAAACCTGAGATGAAATAATAGTTAAATAAAATACAAGTAAAAATAGAACAATTGAATAAATGAAAATGAAGAAATGAAAAAAGAAAATAAAAATAAAAAGTGGAGAAATTCCAAGTCACGTTGCATCATCAAAAATGATCTTCAACGAAATGGCTACTCCAAAGCGATGGTGGAAAAGACTTTGGCTAAAAGACAGCAGGAGCCTCGCAAGGAAGAGAAGCCGTCACAACCAGTGCTTGCACTTCCCTACATCAGAGGATTATCGGAGAGGAAAAGAAGAATTGGTTCCAAGTACAACATCGGAACCTGCTTCGGATCCGGTAACACTATCCGTAGCAGCCTCACGAAAACCAGGCCACCAAACGTGGACTGCGATTCCAAGAATTGCATTTATCGGATACCCTGTGAGTGCGGAAAATCCTATATTGGTGAAACTAAGATGCCATTGAATGCTCGCATTGCCGAGCACAAGAAACACACACAGCGAGGGAAAACCAGCAAATCAGGAATGGCAGACCATGTTTGGACCCATCAACACAACATCGAGTGGTCCCAAGCTGAGATCTTGCAGAGAGAGGAACATTGGTTTAGGAGAAAATTCAAGGAAGCCGCATACATGTTGTCCAACAACGTATTCAGCCAAGCCAGCAGAAATACGCAACATATGGAAACCCATCATCAAGCGAAAAATGGCCAACTCCCGCCAAAACGGTCATCTCCCACGGAACCAGTGAAGCGGAAAATGGAAAGCGGGGATAAGTGAAAGTACTCGAACGACCTATAAATAGTCATCTCTCGGAGGAATCAGTCCAGTCATCACCCGAAGACGATTGTAGATACTAACAATCGAAACGTCGTGAACTAACCTGACTTGGAATCTCTCCACTTTTTATTTTTATTTCCTTTTTTCATTTCTTTATTTTTATTCATTCAATTGTTCTATTTTTACTTGTATTTTATTCCACTATTATTTCATTTCAGGTTTATTTTGGTTAATATAATTGTTATTTTCAGCTATTTATTTTTAATAATTCTTTTTTAGTTGTTTCAGGGATTTTAAAACATTTTATATAGTAGACAATGGAAGTCCGAACGAGTGAAATTCATCATGAAACATTGTCAATCACCTTCAAACACATGGCGCTGGAATTGCATACGCTGCTTCTCAAAAGCTTGGAACACTGTTCCCAACCAGAAAATTGTACACATCTCAGCAACTTTTGATGCTTCATAAAGCTCAGATCTGACCTTATTTGGAGTATTGTTCTCATGTACAGTACTCTGCACCCAACTACACGCTAAACTGCGTTCAAATCCATATTCAAATTCAATGCAAATCGCTACTTCCGCCCAGGCACCGCTCTGATAAGATTTTTTTGTAGAACTTGTGTTTTGTTATTAAAAAAATCTTGGCATTCATTTTGATCAAAAATTCACTTCTGTTTCACATATGGACCAAGCTGTTTCATCCTCTAGTCGAATTTTGGCTCCATGTTTATCTGTACATAGTCACCAAAGACATTAGATTATTGTGATTTCTGTTCAGAATAATCCAATTCAACTGAGAAGGACACAATGAATTATCGTAAAAGTGTGAAAATATATCTCGGTTCAGTCAGTTTTGTATGAAACATGGTTTCAGAATTGGAAATATCATCAAGACGTATTTATGATAATTTAAACAAGCGCCCAAAATCCAAACATTCGTGATCCAATACCAGACAGTACTCTTTCATCATCAGTGATACTAGCCTGAACCACGAATTTATTTGTGGACTCAACCGTTCTTGAAGTACCAGCCGGTGTTAGTGAAGGCGAAGGCGTAGACGCCTTCTGTTGGATCGATAAAAGATTCCACTAATATCAACGATGAACAAGTCTAACCCAAAGAAATACATTGCGACTCCACGCTTCGACATCAACCGCTGTACGGAGTTCTAGTTTCAGATAGTTTCCTTACACCGAAAGCTGCAGTGAAAAAAAGATAACAAATCTCGTTCGACAAGAGATGTCGAAGCTTGACTTTGCATATAACCGCCTCAGATATCTTCATTTATGTTAAACTGTGGACTTTTTTGTCGTTTCAATAAATGGCATCTCCGTTGGGAAGATGTTAGTATTATAATAATAATGAGAGTAAACGCATGCTATCGGTATGAAATTCGGGATAGACAAATGTGCAATAGTCCATCTCAAAAAAGGACGATGCGGGGACTACGGAGAGGATGTGCAGCTCGTAGATGGAAGCATCCTACACCATCTGGATGTCGGAGAGACGTATACTTACCTCGGGGTGGAACAACGCCACTCACAAGAGGTAACAGCAGTGAAAAACTCTCTCTGCGACAAGTATCAGCACAAACTTCGACAGATCTGGTCATCGGAATTGTCGATGGAAGATGGAAGCATCCTACACCATCTGGATGCCGAAGAGACCTATAGTCACTTCGGGGTGGAACAACGCCACTCACAAGAAGTAGCACCAGTGGAGAACTGTTTCCGCGGCAAGTATCAGCTCAAACTTCAATAGACCTGGTCATCGGAACTGTCGTGGAAAGAAATAGTTGCTGCAACAAATATGCTTTCCGTTCCAGTCTTACCCCAATCGTTTAAAGTATTGAAGTGGACTCGGGAGGAGCTGTATCGACTCGACGTAAAGACCCGAAAGACAATTCACCTTCACTGGATGGAGCCTGAGAAGTCGTCAAGAGGTTGAAACCCATTCTCTGTATGGTTGGCGACCGTAAGAGAGCAAGAATTGGAGCATTTCCATTCAGGGCAGCTGCCTGAGCAGCTGGTGAACTTGGTTTAGTTTTCGAGACTGAACGAGGTGATCATAACTCTGTCACCGAGTTGGAATCTATTCCGCAAAATGCCCATATAAAAGCCTCAAAGATCACTTCACTGCTGCGGCAGCACAGGGATTAACCAATGCATGGGGTCTTCTTTACCAACATTGAATACTTTGGCTTATCAAAGCGCCTGACATTCGCTTTTCTCAGGTCGAGCGGGCTGGAGTCGGAAACTGAAGTATCATCATGGACTGCCAGGCTGGTGTGTTCAACAATTCAGTTTACCGCAGTCTCGTGATGGATATAGAGGTTCCTAACGCAAGATACACGGCCTGCCGTGAGGTGTCTGAGACTCTAATGCTTTAATGCTCTTTCAACCCCTCAGACTCTATCCAGACTCTATCTGTCAATATGGTTGCTCTGATTATTGGAGTACTTGGTGGAATCTGAAAATAATGAAGGCTTGCCGAACCAAGGCAGACATTTCAGCCGGGCATATGCAAAAGGCTGTTATTCTTTGCTCAAAAGGCTTGCTCAGGGCACATGATTATCGGACTCCATGACCTCTTGACCAACGGTGTGGGGAGAGGTCGTTGGTTGATAATGCGGCGCGCCCTCCCGAATGTAACGAGGCTTCGGGAGATTGGGTCTGACCAGCGCAAACTTCGTCAAATAATAATAATAATAATAAAAATAATGGCTGTTTTTGATGGTTTATTATATTTATAACCAATCAAATGGCAGGATTCAATATCTTGGCATGATAAATTATGGCAGAGATTGTTGTACCATCCATTCTTCCTTCCTTACTTAAACATAAAATACTCTCTGAATTTCTGACTCAGGTTATTTATGAATGTCTGTACAGATTGAATGTGGAATATCTGAGGTCATTTATTCTCTTTTGTAAATCAGTTTTCCGGAAGCACCTCCTTTGTAGGATGGCAGTACCTGAAACAAAATAATCAATTTTATTTTCCCTCTATGAATGTGGATTTCAACCACACCTCTTCAGTTGAAGTTTTTGTTTTATTCTGATCAATATCAGACATATTTTCTCTTGATGAAGTTCGAAGTTACGTGCTTACAAAATCAATTTTCACGAGGTGAAGGGATAATGGAAAATATTAGGCTCAATGAATCCTGGTTGTATATTAATGGTGTACACCTATTTTGTATACATTTGAGAAAGCTGACTAGACTATGTACATATATAAAAAGGAACGCTCAAATTCAAAGATTATTGATTATGTACACTTTTGACGGATTGCATTTACCTCAAGTTCTGAGTTCTCTCATACTTCTCTAATCTAATCGTTAACCCACCCTGGCTAACGAAGTGAAAAAAAGTGGGCTTGGGCCTGACAGTTTTCCAAAATTTCATTGTTCAAAACTGATCTAACTAATAATCGAACCTAGCCTACGGATTTGAACAGGAATGCAATGGACTACGTCACATGAATGTACGCAATAGCATGGTCACGTATAGAAATATACTCTACCAGAGGAAGGATTCCTTAAATCATATTTAACAGATCGTCAACAACAAGTGAAGATTGATGATGAAATTTCAGATAGTCTAACCATTCAACGAGGTGTAACACAAGGTAGTATTCTTGGTCCTCTTTTATATACACTATATACTCCAAACTTTCATCATCATCTTTCCCATTGTAATTATCATTTATATGCCGATGATACTCAAGTGTATTTTTCTTTCAATATGGACGTAATTGAAAAAGCTAATGTTATAATTAATGCAGACCTGTCGCGAATCGTGACATTATCGGATTTTTTTTAAATGAAGTTTTCGAAATCTTTCGCCATTTTATTCGGAAATGAAATTCAAAACATAAGAGCTACGAATAGATTACGAATCTGTTTCAATGATGATGTTATCAATTTCAGCGATCATGTGAAAAATCTTGGTTTACATCTGGACTCAAAATTGCGATTCGACAAACATGTTACTTCTAAACTGAAAACGGCATACGCAGCTCTGAAATTGTTTTATCCTCATCGAAATGAAATGAATTTAAAAACAAAAAAAATGTTATCTGACTCGATGGTTTTATCACATTTCAACCATTGTGATACAGTTTATGGTCCTTTTCTTTGGAAATCTGATGCCTTTCGTATCTAACAGGTATAAATTTCATGTCTACTTTTGATTTATAATCTCGAAAGAAGAGATAGGATTTCACATAAGCTTAAGGAAATGGGCTAGTTAATTATGTCTAATCGTCGTTTACTACATTCACATTGTTTTTTTTAAAACCTCAAAACTGATACCCCTGAATATCTGTGTAGGAGAGTTACATACAGGACAGATGTTTATTATCTCAACTTGAGGAGAAAGAATCTCATTGATATACCAATGCATAATAAATAAATATTTAAATCCTCCTTTTCTTATCAGATTACTATAATTTCCTCTTTACTGGATAGAATAGAAAAATGTTTCTATTCAATAGAAGATTTTATAAATGAATAATACATGTACTACATCTCTTGTAGGTTTACATGTGCATGATAATTTTGTATATATTTATTTTATTTTGATCTGTGCATCTCTGTGTATATGTATTTTAATTTTAATACTAAGGAAATAACGACGTTGTAATGTTTCATTTACAATGAATAAATTGATTGATTGATTGATTGATCGATTGATTGATTTAGTTGGGTTTGTATTTTTATGCATATATACCAAGCATTGGTGCATATGTAGTTTGTCAATGTTAAGGATGTCTAGGTGTTCGTAAAGCTTATTAGTGGAGAAACGTTTATTTTTTCTGAAACCTATTTTAGTATACAGTTCTGAGTAGTTTTCAAATTTTGTAATGCATTATTATATGATCCTTCCCATATTACTATACAGTATCTAAATAATGCTTCAATTAAAGATGTATATATAAGTTTTAGGTTACGATTGTCTAAAATGTACCTAAGTATGTAAAATTTTCGAATTATTTGCCTAGCTTCATTGTTATACATAATTGGTATGCGCGTTCCATTTGAGGTGTTGATCGACAATTACACCAAAATATTTTATTTCTCTGGTTTTTTAAATAGATGGACAGTTGCAATTCGGTTGAGTGCATGTTTTCTTATGAAGCATAATATAATTTCTGTTTGGTTGAGTGTCGACATTTGTAGAAAATGTTATAAATTTACTTTTAGACGTATTCAGAGACAACTTGCTGTGATTTAGCCATTGTGAAATTTTTATAAGATCCTTTTCAGCTTTATTGAATAGATTATCCCAGTTATTATCAGTGAACAAAATTGACGTTTCATCAGCGTATGAAACAAGATGTCCTTGGAAATCTTTGATTTTTGCTATCGAGTTGATATAAACAAGAAAAAGAATTGGGCCTAAAACTGTTCCTTGCGGTACTCCTGTTGTTATTTCAAGTGGTGTGCTGCAAATGTGATCAATTTTTACTCTCTGATATCTGTGTTTCAAATAGTTTTCTAAAATGTTCAATGCTGGACCGCGAATGCCTGCCTCATTTAGTCTTTCTATTAATATTTCGTGACCTACCGTATCAAAAGCTTTTGCTAAGTTGAGAAATATACATAAACATTTCTCTGACTTATCTGAGCACTCAACAATCCCTTTTGTAAGATCAATTTTCTCAAAAAATTCCATTAATCTAGATTTTAAACATTTTTCAAAAATTTTTGCTAAATTATTTATAACTGAAATTAGTCGATAGTTACTAGGATCTTTTCTATTTCCAGATTTAAAGACAGGTGTTATATTACTTTCCTTCCATTGCTTTGGTATCACCCCTTTTGAAAAAGAAAGATTAATGATGTATGTCAGTGGTGAAATGATGTGCATATGTATTAATTTGATTGTATTCATGGCCGTAAGATGTATGTCAGATAGATGTAGATGTGAAATAATATGTTCAGGTGATCATAATTGAACAGGTACCTCAGGTAGAGGCTTAGGTAATTTCTTGGAGGTAGTCTCAATTATGGTTACCTGTAGTATATGAATATTAATGTAAGAATAACTTGAATTATTCAAATCACTTGAGAAAGCTACTGTGCTAGCAAAACATGTGATATATTTCAAATAAAATTTGTGCAGATCAAATCGTCAGGTGTAGTTTTTGAGATTCTTATTGTGTACGCAATCTAGACGTGTACCCAATCTAAATATAGGTACGAAAAGGAGAATATTCGTTTATTCCTTATCGGTATACCGATACGGTATACCAAGAATCTAACAAAATATACTTGATATGGTCTGACCACGTTATATTGAATAATACAAGAGGATTTTTTTTGTTTCTCTCAATGCACCTACCCTGAATTTGCTGCCTACTGAGCAATGGAGGTACCTATTGAGTACTGTTTTCATTATAAACTTTCTCCTGGTATGGTTGTAGCTTATATACCAAAATCAAAAATCAACGATATTGACCAGGAATTGCATGGTAGTGCAATTCTCCGAACTTGAAATCTCCTATCTAGTACTCACCACTTCAACTCCTTCGTCAGAAAAAGTAGATATTTTGGTGAAAAGCTCTCCTTTTTCTCCCTGCATTTTTTGGGTTAACACATTACCATCTAACGTCGCTAGAACCTATAAAAAAAGTGTCATAAAAAATAAGTGATAACTTACTCTAATCTAAGTTGAAATATTCAATATTGAAATTGTTTAATTTGAGGTAAGCTCAGGTTATTTTTTGAATTTTATGTATATTAATATGATAATGCAAGGAAAGGTCATTTATTCATGCTATGGAAAATGATACTGGTTTGCTTATAGACTGATCGAGTTAGTGGTATATTATACTTATCAAGTCTAATCAGTTTATATGGAAGTAGCTGTTTCAGGAGGACTTTCTTTCAATTTGAGTCTGAAAGTTACTTCTTTGCATGGTCTACACATCCATGTATAGAGTTGCTTATTTTTAAATTGATTATTTCCTTCCTTTCTTTGGAAGATTCCCTCATCCTTTTTTTTCTTTGTATCAAGATGGAGTAGTAAAAAGCCAAAAACTTTCTGTTTCAAAAATTAATCACTTCTAAAAATATAACCCCTTCGATTCAAATAATGATAATATTGAGTAGATGAATTTGAAATTCATCATAAGAATTATTTTATATTAGTTAGGTTGGTTAGGATAATGAGAAAGAGAAAATAAGAAAGAATAAGTAATAAGTTATAGAGTAATAGAGAAGTGTGTATCAGTTGAGAATTCAATTTAGTGTATTGTTTTCGAGAATAAAACTTTCAATGTTTTGTTTGTAGTTCGCCATTTTTGTTATATGCTTAACTTTTAGAGGTAACATATTGTATAGTTTAGTTCCGAAATAGAATATAAATCTTCATGTATGACTCTTTCTGAATTTGGGTATTCTGATAGATAGATCCTCAACAGATAATGTATATTTTTCAGCAAGATTTTTTTCGTAGTCCTGTTTGTTTTTGAACATCCACTGAAGGCATTGATAGGAATATAGACCCCTGATATTTAAGATCTCGGAATCTTTATATAGCTGATGTGTTGAGAATAACCTAGGTTTCTTCAATATAATTTTCAATAAAGTTTTCTGTGTTGTTTAAAGTCGTTTTATTATACATTCCTCCCCAAGCAGTTATACAATATCTCAGGAGATTCCGCTAGAGATTTATATAATATAAAAATATTTCTTCTATCCAAGATATCTCGTAATTGATAGAAGCATTTAATTAGCATTCTAAATCTTTTCACTATGTAATCAGAGTGGAGGTCCCATCTCAGATGCTGAGTTATTATAATACCTAGATATACCTAGATATTTTATATTTTTCAACCTTTCTATCAATGGACAAAAGCAATTTTGTGTTTCACACCCTGTTTGATGTATACTCAAATATTTTTTCCGGCTGATCATTTTGTTGTAATGATAAAGTTATAAATTTTGTTTTATTAACATTCAGATACATTTTTCCATGAGTCCTCTGTAATAACAATAGCCATGTCATCTGCATATGATATTATTATGAGGTGACCTTTGAAGTTTTGTATCGTACTGAAACTGTTTATATAAATAAGAAACAGAATTGGTCCTAGTACTGTTCCTTGGGGACCTCCTATTTTGACTTTCATAGAACTACTGAATTGATTATCGATTTTTATTTTTTGTACTCTATTAGTAAAGTAGTCTTTTAGTAAAAGTAGAGTTGGTCCCCGTATACCGTATGTGTATAATTTATTCAGAAGCTTGTCATGTGCTACGGTATCGAAAGCTTTGGCAAGGTCCAGAAAAATCGTCAAACATTTTTGAGAGCTATCCAACGCCATTACGATATTTTCAATCATATCTAATACAGCACTTTCAGTATTAGAGTTTGCGATGAAATCAAACTGACTTTGTGATATTACATGATTCCCACAAAAGAAATTCATTAATCTTATTCAAAATATATTTCCACTACATATATCATCATTGAAATGGTTGAAGATTTTGACTAGCTACTGACCTTGAAATTACCCCAAGATTTCTTCTCTTCTTTTTCTTCCCCCAACACCAAATCTGATATGCTATCTTTATTACCATGGTGATCGTTGATCCAGAGTTTTTTGCCATCAAGTTTGATTTCTAGAAAATGTTCTCCTTCTGACATTTGCTTGATCCTTTCTTCTGGAACTCCTACAAATCAATACACGTTCAAAAATAAACACGTGACTTTGTCTGCGTGGACAACAAAAGAAAATGTGCTGATAGTTGATTGAAAAAATCATAAAAATAGGGTGAATATCATGAAGGTGAAAAATTATGAGTTGAAGAATATTATTTATAGAAGACCTAATCGGTATGTGAAAAAATACACCTTTTCAATTTCAACAAGTTTCTTATGGCTGGGATTCAATCAAATGAGTGAATGAATGTTATTCTCGTACTGTGATCGATAGCATGGGTGGATTCAACTCATTCTATGATAGGAATAGTCGTAAGTTTATGAACGAATTGAGTATTTTTTCTTATAATGTGACCCTTATTTGCTACTGCCGATAAGGCAAGTGTCTTGCGGCGAAACATTGGATGTCTAGCAGTAAGGATGACAGTGTTCGATTGAAGTAAACTTTTACTTCTTTCATTGATTATATTGTGTGAGAACCCTGTGAGTGATATCTGATTCGATTCTAGATGAATGTAAGGAATACAAACGGAATAGAGACAAAAGTTTTCGTATTATTTCGCGTTCATATATCTAAAAGTTTGGGTTTCGAAAATATTTTTCTTTCATGTAATTCAATTTTTATATGAAAATAGCTGTTTCGAGAGGACTTTTCCAGTTTGTGTCTGAAAGTTGCTTCTTTGCATGATCTACACATGTTTGTATTGAGTTGATTTGTTGAATTGATTGCTTTCTTTTTTTTTGTAATATATCCACATTTTTCGTATCACGTTGGAGAAGTAGAAAGCCAAAACCTTCCTTTTTCAATAAATTTTGCTATACAGCGGCCATTATTTAGTTGAAAATAGGCAAGTTATTTGTGATAATCTACAGAGTAGCTTCTTTGAACAACATTTTTTGTGAAGGAGTCAATATTTTTTTATATTGTTTTTTTTAGTGAAAGATGAATCAATAGAGGATCTGCTGAAGTGTAGTAAAGTTACTGCGTAATATGAACTACTAGAAAGTCCAATTAGTCGTATTATTTGTTATCAAATCCATAAAATTTAGCTACAAATTGAAAGAATCAATCAAAAAAAATTAAATATTGATACTGAGCTTTCTTAAGCGGTTAACGTTTAGAAAAACAACCCTTTTTCGTTCTCAAAACCTTTATTCACTATGAAAATCTCGCCTCAAACTGTGCTGTTTCTAATTTCTTTTGACACACGTCAACAACAGTTCGACGTAAAAATGTTATTACTGAAATATATCACTTTCAATACTTTCAATGGGTCATTTGTTTCTATTCTCTCCAGTTCAGTTCAGTTCATCGGATGAAGCAGAAGAATGACTTACCTTCTTTTTTTAAATGTTCAACAAACTGATTGGCATCCTTTATCACATATTTTCCTGCAATTTGGACCATTTTGAAACTACCGACTTAGTTTTTTGTCGAATAACTAACAAAACTCGCTTGATTATGGAATATCTGATGAATATTCAAGGTGCATTTATATATACCTAAAACGATGAGGTCTTTTCAAATACCTGTTATCAATTCAATTGAAATTTGTGTGTGCTCTACAAATAAAGTATATAAGCAGGATTTTGTAATAATTCCGAAACTGTTTGGATTGTGATGATGAGAATGCAGATTTCGATCACACTGACATCAGATTTTCATCCTATGTAACCCGAGAGGATTTCAATCTCGCATTCCATTGATGTATGTAACATTAAGGAATCTTTAAAAAAAAAAGTATATTTTCATTTTTCTCAAAAACAATTCATTGATGCATCAATTCCTATTTTAATTTTTTCTAAGTAGTCCCCAGCAAATATAATACACTTGTGTCAGCGTTTTTCACAAAACTAGAAGCAGTTCTGATATGCACTGTATCTGTAGAGTAGGGAGGGTGAGTGTAGGTCCACAGTACTTAGGCTACATGTGACCCATTGTACATCCTCCCGAGGAGTTGTCCTAGGTCATCGTCCATCCTGTCCTTTCCAGGAAGCTGGACATGTCATTAGGAGATATCTCCTTTATATCGGCAGGTGTAGGCCAAGACTCGCCGAACACAGATTCTCTTTGGTAACCTTGGAGTGTCTCACGGCGGCCTCCGTGAAGGTTTCGGAAGGTGCAGCGACATTACTGTCATTGCGCGGCTTCTTCAACTTCTTTGGATTCCCTCTGTGGAGGTACACAAGTGAGGGAGCTCTCCTGCAGGGGCTTCATTCAAGGCAGAGCTCTTGGCGCCCGCCGCAGGAAGTGCCCTAGCTGTTGGAGGTGTAGTGAAGGAGGAGAAGGGTGCACTTATCGTTGCTGCCACTCCTGCCTCTTTTGCTCCCTTTCTCCTTTTGGCCTCGACGCCGCAAATGTGCTAACGCTTTGGCCTTTGTATTACATCACGAGGTGATCTGCTTTGTCCAGCCTCATTTCGAGCAGTAGATTGGGGTAGACATTTCTGTTCATCCCCAGCTACCTTATATTGAGGTGGGCACTTCGGTCCAGCCTTGGGATTGGTTTTTGTTTTTATTGTTTCTGTTTTTGTGTTTGTTTCATTCATATGTGTTTCATCGAGTAGCAAGGGAAGAGTTGGTCACCTCTGGCAGAGCCCCGCATTACCAGAGGCTGATTATAATGAGGTTTTACCACGTTCCCCAAGGGGATTGTTGGTTACCGCATATCACCCTTTGGCCATTCAGCTGTCGGCAAGATTCCTTATACCTTAGCTTGGTTAGGCTGGTCCACGGTGGCATGTTTCGCAAAGGCTTTTGGGAAGTTTTAGTTCCCCTTACCCTACTTATTTCTGCCACTGAGCAGGAGTCCGGCGACCCCGTTCAAGGTCCCCACTCCTCTATCCGCCACCTGGAGACGCGCCCGATATATGGTCCAACCCACAGGCTGATATGCACAATTTGAAATATATTTGAGTTCAAGCTACAATTTGGTTTTTATCTCTTCAATGGTCGCTAAACGCTGGAAACAGGTAAAAATGAAAACGAGAAACAGAAAACAGTCGCGTGTGGCCAAATCAGGTGAATATGTTTGCTAACTGATGATTACGATGTTGTTTTTGTCTAAAAAAATTATGAAAAAGCAACGACGAGCGAGCAGTGGCATTATCGTGATGCCAAAGTCATGAATTGTTTTTCCACAAAACCGGACATTTTTTTCGTACTGCTTCTAGCGAGCGGCACATGACTTCGAAATAATACTCCCTGTTGATCACACGACCATATGGAAAAAACTCATTTCGCCACGGTGATCGAAGGAAAGGGAGAGCAAAACCTTGACATGTGATCGAACTTGGCTCTCCTGGGTTCTTCAATTGGGACGACTGGTATTTGGTTTCGATGTCATACCCATACCAGTTATGATCATTTTTATCGAACCTGGATCGCCATTGACATAATTGTACAATTCCTGAGTGATGCTCATGCGACGGTTTCTTCGGTTAAAATTTAGCAATTTTGGAACAAACTTGGGTGCCACACGATTCGTGCCTAAAATTTTCGAAAATATTGCATTACATGAGCCAACCAATATGCCGACATCCTCAGCAACTTCTTTGATAGTGATTCTGCGAGTCTCCTTAAAAATTTTCTTCATTTTCTCAACATTTCCATCGTCCATAGCGAGCGTCTCCATTCACATCTTCTCTACCTTTGGTAAGTAAAGTAAGTGAGTAAATGTATTCTATTCTTTTCTTTTTTATGTCATCTACAATACCCCTCGATAAACCGTTAGTGGCTGCTATTTCCTGTATTGTACGTCTTTCTTTTGTGAACCTATTATGTGTTAGAGGGAAAGTCAAAAGACGATGCACTAAAAAATTCAACCCAGCATGTTTGTGCTGTCCACAGTGATGTGAACTGTCAGGAATTTACCTGTACGTGCTTGTTTTTTTTCCAAATATATCGTATTGTAACCCTCCATATTGACTCCTCATTACCAAAACGTCAAGAAATGATCAAGAAAAGTTGATGTTTATAGTACAAGTTGGATAGTAAAAAACTATTTTCATATGATTCAATGGTTTTATGGACGTAATTGTTTGAAAAGGACTTTGTTCCTCTTTTTGAATCAATCTCAGCCAGGTTTTAATATTTTGAGCTTCAGAACAGTTGTATTTTTGAAAACGTAGGAAATCAAAGCGATGTATTTTCGAAAGTATTTTATTGTGAAAAATATAGAACACCTCCTCAATTTCCATAATTTAAAGACTCCATAAATAATTGATTCGAACAAGAAATCTGAAACTCCAATGATCAAAATACTTTCTCCCATGATGGGAGGTTGATTCGAACTTTTCTTTCCCAGATCTTCTTGGTCCTACCCAGATCTATCATAAATCTAGAGGAACAATTCCTTTAGGTCATTCTCAACTTCCTAAAGTGTAGGTTAATGAACTGCAGGAATTATGCAGGAAATACTTCAGTGAAGATTCCTGCACTGACACCTGTTGGATATAATCCAACGCCCTTCATGGTGTTAGCTAGGAGAGTAGTCGTTTTCTGATACTTGTCAGTCTATCAACCTACAGTGAAGCGAGTCGAGATTGACCTGAACGAATTGTTCCTTCAGATGATTTGATTTATAGCCAGTCTTCACTATATGTGACAAATTTTCATCTCGATTGGATGATGAAATGAACACGATGATTTTAGAAGAAGCAATGGTGCGTGTCAAACTTTTTCGAAAAAAGTTTTTCCCTCTAATCCGTCGGGACTTTTGAGTGTGACTTCCACACCGTCCTTTACGAAGGAGTAATTTCTGGTTCTTATGACTCCTTTCTCATCTCTGGATTCTATTATCAGCACGTTTTTGTCCAGTTTTGGAAGACTCTGAAAAGAAAGAAATTATAAATTCTTAATGGCTTGATTCCACTTTATTTGAGTGAAGAATGCATAATCTCATTGAGCAAAACAAGAGAGTAGTCTATACAGTATTGGCTAAATGAAGCGTAGCAAGATATTTCGATCAAGCAAACGCAACTCCACAGATTTGACGCCAGTTATTCGACCTCAAGGTCTTTCCAACTCATAAGAAGCGATTCAAGATGTTTTTCATCGAATGATTGAAAATACAACATCGTAGTGGTCTAAGTTTCAAATCATCATGTACCTATAGGTTAGATAAGATATTGTTCTATGGCAAATTTCACTGTTGAGCCATTATATTTTCGAATTTCAAATAAACGATGAACTGTTTTCAGTTATCAATCTGATGATGGGTAGATTAGATTGCTTGAATATAGCGCACCGTATCGTTATGATGTACCGATGACTATTGTGAAAAATGAGCTCAAATGTAAGCTCGTATTTCATCGAAAATATCACCTTTCTAATGAATCAAACATTAGTACATCGGTTTTGAATTTCCGTTCGCCGCAATTTCTGAAAAAAAATCAATTAAACTTGTGTATCTAATCTAATCAAGAATCTGGAGTCGAATTTGGCGTTTCGGTTTACTGATACGGCCAGTCAGAGGTCTTCTCTCACTACATTTTTTTTGTGTACAAAACAATTTTCTCATATTTCAGGAATATTCATCATCACTGACGATAATAAAATTCCTTCCAACATATAGCCAGGAATTTCCAAGAGAGATTTGGAGCTAATGTTATAGGTCTCTACTTTTTTGAGACATCTCTGGTGAAAAAATTATATTTGGAATCCTTTTTGGAAACTCCAGTTGAGTTGTTAGAAGATTTGCCTTTGAATATTCTGAGAAAGTATCAGTATTCGCAACATTATACAGCTTTGCCACACTAAACAACTATTTGCAGAGATGCTAATTAGAAAATCTGGTCCTATTAAATGGCCACCACATTAACCTGACCTGATCCTTCTGGACTTCCCATTGTGAGATTTCAAAATGTATCTTTCGTTTCATTCGGAACTTTTTTCTGTATTAAATCACGGGTAATTGAAAATATTTCAATACCTAAATATTTCTTTTTAGTACCAAATTCCGCTAACACTTATAATTCTCCAAATCCATTTTTTATTTTGAATTTCTTTTGAAAAACCTATCAAGGAGGTTACGTAGAGCGCCATCTGCCCGCGAATAGATCGAGCAATAATAATGTCAATAATTCTGTCCCTAGCTTGGGAGTTACAAGCAAGCAAACATACATACATACAGGTGAAGTTATTATAAAGCGTATAAAAACAGCCTGTTGAGTATAGCAAACATTATATATAAAACGAGCAATCATCACCGTAACAATCACCTGCAAGCTGGGAGAAAATTCTCAATTGCATAGAATAACAAATATGAAAAAGTGATTTTGCCTGCGTCTACTACTAATCCACAAAATTTGTTTCGACATTTATTGCTGCAACGAAAAAATTGTAAAAGACCCATATCTCGGAATGAATAAAAAAAATAATTCAAGCTTCCAAAATTGATGGTTCAGTAAATTTTTGCTAATGTGGTGAAGGCTGAAGACTGTAAAGATGTCGGTATACAATTTGTTTTCTCTTATCTTTATCAGATATTATTATTAGTTTCCACAAGAGAAATTGAAAGAACTGCAATTCAGATCTGAGGAGTCAACTGAGGTATTCGAAATTGATCCCTGAATAGTGAACTTCCATCTCACCTTCAAGACCAAACCTGGCCAGTGATCTTCCACTTGTTGTCCAACAACATATTGCATGGTATGTGTTCCTTCGTCAAACGTTTTCGTTATAGTATATTTCTCACCTTCAATGTCAATTTTTAGAGAGAGTGGAGGTTTGTATGCTTTGATTTTATCAGCTGGAACACCTTCAAATATGAAATTAACTATTTAATACCATTTTCATGTTGTGAGGAAATGTAAAATGTTTCAATTCTTCAGTAAGCAAATATTACCTTTTTTCATCAGGAAGTCCGGAAAATTATCTCTGACATATTGATATTTACCAGGAGTTGGAACCATATTTCAATTGTTATCTATGACCAGTTCACTGAACGACTCGCTTCAAGATGAATATAACAAATTTTCCAATCCTTTATATACTTCAATCAATATCGAATATATCATTTCGATGAACTAGATTTTGCGTCAAAACTTTTATCAACAATCACCTTTTTTTCGTTGGAATTCTGCCATTAAATTGAGTTGAAACCTACATTATGTCTGTCAGATAAGAGCACTTCAAAATATACGTACAATGTGAATCGCAATAATTAATATTAATCACTCAATCAATTCTCTGTTGATGTTGACACAGAACAAGATGTTGGTACGACTAATAATTAAAATACCATTCATACATATAAACAGAAGATATAGTCCATAACTCAAAGTGGAGTTCACACAAAAGAGAGGAATATATTTGACTATTATATCGGAAAAACATACATGTTTCGATCACAGCTGTGATCACCTTCAGTGTAACAGAAGCATGAACAAAATAAAGGTTAGCAAAGACAAATGGTGTCAAAATAAGAGCATGTCTCATCAATTGATTCGTTCCGAAACTTTTAATGGAAGTAAGGTGAGGACATCCCCTACAAAGGAGGCTCCCCAAGACGTCCATTAGTCGACATCTATCGCCGAATGAGATTCTTCTGCCTTCCACTGCAGCTTTTACTGCAAGGCAACTGGATGTACAGCAGTAAACAGCAATAGTCAAAAAATATTCCAAATACACCAACACCAATTCACCAAACCAAATTCAAGAATAAGCTGAATTATTTTTTTTTTTTTGATATTTCCATAGCTCTAGAAAAAACACTATTGCTTCTGAGAAATGCATCAATCCTTGACATGTTTCTGCACGTGAAGACATATCAAGGATTTACTAGAGGCAATTGAAGTCACAAAGCAAGGTAAATTAATCAGTTTCGACCTGAAAAGCCTTCACACCAACGTTTCTGTCGAAGAAACACTCCAAATTTTACAGAAAAAGCTATCTGAAGACGATAGCGAACTCACCTATAGTAATAATCATGGAGTTACTAGGATGCTGTGTACGAAACTGTTATTCTCTACCGAAGGAAGAATTCTTTACGCAAGATGAGTGACTGCCAATGAGGTCGTCACTTTCAGCAGTTATAGCCAACATATACATGGAGAGGTTTGAAATTCTGGTCATTGAAGGGGTCCACGAGAAGCCCAAGTCTGGTTGAGATACGTTGACGGCACCTTCATAATATGGAACCATGGGAATAAAGAACTAGACACCTTCCTGAATCACAACAACGTAAGACCTTCTATCACTTTCACAATGGAGAAGGGAGTTCAAAATCAATTGCCATTCTCAGACGTATTGGTGGAGAGGACCCACACTAAGTGGGAAACATTTGTATACCGGAAACCCACTCACACGGGAAAGTATCTGATTCACGAATCCAATCACCATCAATCTCTCAAGGAATCATCAAGACTCTAGTTGACTGTGCTTTCGGGCTATGGAATACGAAGGAAGGTCTCGAGGAGGAACTAAGCTTCATCAAAAAGGATCTTCAACGAAATGGTTCCTCCGAAATGATGGTAGAACAGACTTAGACTGGAAGACATAAACGACAAGAGCTTCGCAAGAAAGGAAAGCCCTCACAATCAGTTCTTGCCCTTTCCTATATCAGAGGATTGTCGGAAAGGTTAAGAAGAATTGGGTCTAAACACAACATCAGAACCTGCTTCAGATCCGGAAACACCATCCACGGCACCCTCACAAAAACTTGACCACCAAACGCGGACTGCGTTTCCAAGAATGGCATTTACCAGATACCCTGTGACTGCGGCCAATCATACATCGGAAAAACTGATAGACAATTGAAAGTCCACATTGCCGAGCACAAAAAACACACAAAGCGAGGAGAAACCAGCATATCGGGAATTGCAGAGCATGTTTGGACCCATTAAGTGGTCCTAAGTTGAGATCTTCCACACAGAAGAACACTGGTTTAGGAAAAATTTCAAACGAGCTGCATACATGTTGTCCAACGACGCATTCAGTCGAGCTAGCATAGAGATACGCAACATATGGAAACCTATATTACAGCGGAAAACGGTGAACTCAAGCCAAACGTTCATCTTCCGCTGAACCAGTGAAGCGGAGAGAGGAAAGAGGAAATGATTGGAAGCACTAGAATGACCTTATAGAAGTCGTAAATAATCCATGTATTATCGGAATACTCATAGTCAGGAATATCAGGTACTGGTGTTCTTCTAGGCCGCTTCTTTCTTGGGGTGGAAAATTTCACTTCGTTATTTGCAGACATTGATTACTTCCTTCAACCACTCTGTCAGTGGTTTTGTCAGTGATACAAAACAAAAATTTGTGTTGAAATAGTTATTTAACCTTCGTCTTCCCACGTCGGTAAAATTACGTGAAGTCCCATGTGGGGTCCATTTGTACCCCAGAGAAACAAATTGGTGTATTTGATTTTTACTATAAGAAAATTAATTGATATCTTGAATTTACACAATTTTATTACATTAAAAAGTATATCGAACATAAATATAATGTTCGTCATTAAATTAAACAAAATAAAAATAAAAAATACATTCTTGGACCGAAAACTAGTCTGAAATTTTTTGACATTGGATGCAAATAACTTTCTTGACATGTTCAGCACATTGCCTTGATTTACGATCTTTATTTCGACAACATAAATAGCAACGTCCACTTGAAGGTCTTTCATAGGCTGCTTCTAATTGCATCTTCACCGGTGCCAATTCTGGTACGACATCTTACATGTACTGCTTCAATGTCTTACTAAATCGTACTCCCTCATTATATCGCCTGATAATATTTTCTTTTACTAAAGCTTCTCCTAGATCTAGTAAAAAGTAACATCTATCGTCTTTTCCTCTAGTTGTTTACAGGTACTTGATATCCCAAAAGATGTAAGTGTTGAGGCCAGAAATATTCAATATTTGGCCAAACTGCCATTGGCCAACGGTAGCATATTCTTCGAGCAGAGTATTGTTTTACCATCTTATCTGTAGTATCTACTGCACCTTTTGTATTACATAATGCAGTATAATATATGGCTTGTTTTATCAGCAACAGCATCATCATGATGTTCAGTTGATAGTAAATAACCGATTTGCCCTTATTGGGAACATAAAAAACCATAGTATGGTCTTTTGTAAAAGCAAACATGCTGAAATTTACGGGCTTGAACGATTTCGGTAGCACCTCGTTAGGAATACATGCTTTATTTTTTTGCAAAGTACCACAAAGGCTTAGTTTGTGATAGTTTTTCAGCCAATGGTAAGCTTGTAAAAAAAGTATCTGTAGTTATGCCATACCCAGAGCCAAATGGTGCAATAAGGTCGAGGACAATAATAGAACAGATGCCACCCCAAGCTGAATATAATTTATTTATTGTTAATTTGACAAATCGTTGCCGATTTTATGAACCGTATACTATTTGCAATACCCCAAACGACACAAAATAAAATTAGTCAAACAGGACGGGCGCTAATTTTAAAATTATAACAAAAAATATGTATTTGGGGTACAGCTATACCCCACCCGGGAAGACAAAGGTTAACATTTTCAAAAAAATTTCAACACTAAAAATTATATCACTTGCCTGACTCTCGTTGACTGGTTTTTTGTTGGGCTATGACATTTTTTCAGTATTGAAAATGAGTTTGTGCGCATAAGGGCGGGCTCGCCATCATGTTTGGCGCTTGCTGTACCTAATTTGCTATACCTAATGAACCAACTGTTTTTTTTCAGAGAATTATTATTTTTGCTTTTAAAAATACTTCAACATTCGTGAAAATGCGCGTATACATGATTGGCAAGATTTTATTGTTGCAGAAAAACAATCTTATCTACAAGAGTGATTATTAGATTATTCAAAAGTCTCATTACAAGCAAGATCAAATGATTACGAGAATGTAATCTCATTGTTATATGACAACAATGTTCAATTGATTTCAAATTTCATGGTTTTCAAAAATATTTGGACATAATTTGTATATGTGTGATTGCTGGTACCTCAAAAATTGGCATTAAAGTCAGGAAATAATCATTTGTGCTACGAAAAAAAGGATATCAGTCTCAGATTGAATGTACAATATCTAAATAAACAAGTAATAGATGCTTTTCCATATCATTTAATCATGTCAAAGAGGCACCATTTTTTTGCTGTTCAGGAGAAATATGGATTTGATCTTCGGCGATTCAAATTCAATGTGAATCACCACTTTCTCACAGGCAACGCTCTAAAAGCGCCCCAAGGATTTTTCTGTAGTGCTTGAAAAAAGCGATTTATTTCCAACAGGAGTACCCAGTTACAGAAAATGCTATTATTACAGAGTATATATGATATAAATATTAAAAATAATGGAATATAGAAATGTATAAAAGTAAATGCTAAAACAAAGAATATATAAAATATTCGTATCCGTAGAATTTCAAAAGAGGAATGAAAAATTGAGTATATAACACAACAAGTTACAAATCATGCAATGTAGCAGTACTGACATGAATGTTATTTATATTATTATCAAAAGTGATTGTGGATACATGAAACCAAGACGTTCAGAGAGTTGAAATGAATATCGCAGTGTTCACAGATTTTATTGAAGCTACTGCACATAAAATTCAATGGTGATCGTAGCATAACATTTGTGCGTGATGCTTCGCAATAGAATTTCAGATTGTGTCGACCTTCACTTCTTGGTACTAAGAAATTGATCTCGGATAAAAGAACTGTACTGTCGATATTGTTGTTAAGTAATTCATGCAGGAATTTTATACCAAGGATAACTCTTCTATTTCTCAAAGATGTCATGTCAAATCGTTAACAAAATGTTATGATTGATGCCTCTCGTGGGGTATTGTCCATCAACTTTCAGACATGAGTATTTCAGGAACTTCCTCTACAAGCTCTCAATTGATGTTTTTTGGTAGTCGTGAACTGGATTCCATAACACAGAGCCATACTTTAACTTAGATCTGGCATACTCAAAATATGTCAATTTCAAGATGGCATTAATTTTGAAGTTTTTGCTATTTCTATAAATGAATCCTATTCAAATCAGCAGTCATATTCCTTATATGTGTTGTAAATGTTAATTTACTGTCGTATGTTATACTAAGATCTTTTATCTCATGTACGCGGTTGATTGTAGTATTGTTGATTGAATAATAGTACATTATAGTTCACTTCTTGTTGTAAATAATATTATTTTACATTTAGATACGTTCAGTTGTAGACGATTATTAGTACACCAAAGTTTGATTACATCTAATTCATGTTGTACACGTTGTCAGTCAGTAATGTCGTCGATATTATAATATAGTTTCAGGTCGTCTGTAAATAGTAGGCTAGGAATATTCAAAGAGTTTGCCAAGTAATTAATAAAAATTAAAAATGAAAGAGGTCCAAGATTAGAACCTTGTGGTACCCCAGATGTAACAACGTACTGAGCCGATTTGAAAGATCCATATACGACGAATTGTTTTCTGTTAACTAGATATGATTCAATTAGATTGAGCAGTTGGTTAGAGAGTTCCAATTTTGTCAATTTGCTGAGAAGAACATAGTGATCTATTTGATCGAACGCTTTTTGAAAGTCTAAATAATCAACAACGACTTGTTTTTCCTTGTCCAGGTACGTACAGAGATATTGATTTACACATGCAAGACTTGTCATACATGATCTTTGTTGTACGAAACCATGCTGAGTAGGAGAAATAACTTTCTGAATACGGGATTACATAATATTTTGCACACATATTTCGAAGAGTTTAGAAAAGTTACATAAAATTGAAATTGCCCGGTAGTTTGTGATATCGCTACAGTCGCCTTTTTTTAATATCGTACAAATTCGAAACGTTTTCCACTACTCAGGGAAGGCACAAGTTGATAAAATTAAATTGAATATGCCTGTTAGAGGTATATAGAGAGAACGTGGATGCAGTCCTTTATTATAAGACTAAAAACATTGTCAACGCCTGCGGTAATTTAATTTCTTAATTTTTTAGAAGCAGCAGCAATATCGATTTTAGAGAAGGCAGGGATGTTTATTGTATCTAAATCAGAATCATGAGAATTTTCACGAAGCATATTCTCGTCCGAAACCAAGGGTACACTTCTGAAGTACTTGGCGAATCCATTGACAACATCCTCAGGCTTATCAAATACCTCATCACCAAGTTCCATTATACCCGGTATACGCGAATGACTTTTTTTACTGTGTATGAAAGACCTATGTTTTGTCCTTGAAAACACGTATAGTTACTCATTCTTACTTCTGAATGAAAACTGAAGAAAGGTTGGTAAGGTAACAGAATCCATTTTTCCTCAAAAAAATCGTTTTTTTCTCTGCCAACGTTTCAAATTCAATTAAATTCTTCTTCAGAGCTCGAAAATTAGTGTTCGAGAACTGAAGAAGAATATAATTGCATTCGAAACGTTGGCAAGAAAACAATTGTTTTTTTAAAGGAAAATTCAACCTGTTACCCAAACAACCTTTCATCAGAAAAATTATTGGATCACTGAACTAGTTAACTGATTATTATTTATATTTTGTGAGTTGAAAATGGAGCAAAGTCCTCGAGTCATTTTTCATTTTTTTGAATTCTTTCCCCTTCGAATTTGTTTTCATATTTTAGATAATATGCAATACTTATCGCAAAATTTGCCAAAAACAAAACCCATTTTATTATTTTCCACTTGCGAGTTTGTAACTTTGGATTTTTTTGTGAAACTTTTTGAAAGGTTTCAAAATACCATTCCAAATAGAATGCCACCTCAATAATAATTTTCGGTGGAAGTGGACGGAAATTTGTTGAGCAGGAACTTATTCTTTAGACTACATAGATATTCAGTGATGATGATGAGATTAGTGTTATTTTCTCACTTTTCTCATATTTCGTTGATTATATAAATAAATTAGCATAACTCTCACAAAATATCAATGACATAATTCGCCAAACAACTTACCCATTTATTTCGGCTGACTGAGTCGGCAAGGTTGAGCATATAAACTATAAAAGTGCAGAAAAACTTATGTTATTCATGCAATTACCATTTCAGCTACTACTAGAAATGAACGTAATTGTGCCAATTTTGTGCCTACTCTACCGTCAATCAGGTAAATATAAGTAATGAGCCCAATTAGCCTTATTAACCTTAAACTTTGTTCAAAAAAGTAATTTTCTGATACACACTACCTATTTGCACTATGAACTTCTATTGAATCTCTGTTTGAATCACGAAAATATAGAAAATTTTCAGCACATAATGGAGATATCTGGGCATTTTGGTCTTTCACATTCTATCTGAGACTATATCTACGTTCCTGTGACGAAACATATATTACTGAAACAGTAATACTCCTTATAGATTGAAAATGTTCCCATTTTCAGCTGTTTAGTTTGTTGTTGAGAGGCATGGGAGTTTGCATCCGAAATCGTCCATTCCACGGTTGTACTTCCCCCGACCACAGGAAGGCCGTGGACTTATGAGTTTGGAGTGTCTACATGACAGAATGATACTGTATGTAGCCCAGGAAGTCGTCAGGAGTTCAGATCCCCTTCTCTGCATGGTCCGTTACCATGAGAGAGCAGGAATTGGAGCATTTCTCTTCAGGGCAGTTGCCCGAGCAGCTGGATGAACTTGGTGAACGAGGTGATCACAACTCTGTCATCGAGTTGGAACCCCTTCAGCGAGAAGCTCATATGAAAGCCGCAGAGACCACCTCACTTCTGCGGAAACACAAGGATAAACCAATGCATGGGTTCTTATCCAATAACATTGGAGACCTTGGCTCATCAGAGCACCTGACTTTCGCTTTCCTCAGGTCGAGTGGACTGAAGTCAGAAACTGAGGGGTTCATCATGGCTTGCTATTCTACCGCAGTCGAGTGATGAGTATAAAAATTCCTGACAAAAAGTACAGGGCCTGCCACAAGGCGCTCAAGATTCTAAAGGCGGAGTTCAACTTGAGTACAAAGATGGTCCTCCACTCAACCTTTGGACAAGCAGAATAAAAGATCGACAGACACAACTAGTCCAAAATTGAGATAAACTGTAGATACATGTGCTGATTCAAATAACTGGTTTCTAAATTTTAGAGGATTTCATGAATTCAAACAAATGTGTTCGAAAGGAGAAGCGTTTGATATTCTTAAAATTATTTAGAATAGCATTATAAGTAGTCGATAAATTATAGGAAGAGCTTCTCTCGAACAATGATAATTCGTGGATTAGTGGTGTTATGGTACCTTTCGATCTAATATTAAGATTGAGAACGTCAGTGCGGAACACAATCTTTCTATAAAGGTAGGAAGGAGTTCGGGTAGTAATTATTTTATGATATCAGGTGGAGCAGTGAAGTTTTCGGCGAGGTTTCATATTTAGCCACCCGGCTTCTGGTAGCTTATGACAAAAAGGTTAACGCCTACGGAAAACGTAGATGAAACGGAGATAATAGTTTTGGATTTCCTGGATTTTTTTCGTAGATGGTAACGTAAGACAAAAGCTATAAACCATATCGCAATAAGTGAAGGTAGAAAGGACTAAAGACTCGCAAAGTAATTTTTTATGATTCAAATTCAAAGTTGCACGAGATCCAAACAAAATTTTTAGTTTCCATAAACTGTTACAAATGCTTTTCGAATCGTTAGGAGTAATCTATCCAGAGGCCAAGATTGTTTACCACATCGCAAAACTGTACAGACACAAATATTTTCCGGTGGAGAAGTCTGTCGTTTCGCCTCCCGAACAGCATTGCCTTAGATTTGTTTGGATTCAATGAGAGAGAATCTCATTCGGATATTTTGAAAATTCTATCAAGGTCTTCGTTAATGTTCCGACAACAATTTACTATGTCTGAATGGTGGAAGGAATACATCACCTGAGTATCATCCGCATACATTTGTAGATAACAATGCAAGACAACATTTTTGAGGAACGCTGTGAAAATCAGATAAAACATTGGCCCGAAAATGGATCCCTGTGGAACCCCACATAAAAGGTCTCTTGTTTGGGAAACCCTAGTACTGAGGGCAACTCGTTGCTTTCTACTACTTAGATAGCTGTCAAAAACATAACAGATCATTCTGAGAGTTGTATATATCGTAGAATATATTTCAGAAACGAATGATTAAGAGTATCGAAAGCTTTCGAATGATGAAGCTTTCCCTAGATGCCCCAGGATTTTGGCATATCGGTTGGCTCGGTAGGCTAGTTCTGAATCATATTGAGAAATTGGAATTTTCATATTATTGCCCTCCCTGTACTAATTGGTAACAACTTGCAATACATTTTTGGAACCAGTTCAGCAAGGTTATTTCCAAATTTGAAACACATCTACATATTCCATTCAAAAACTGGTTATATCGTCATCAACCAATTTGATAATGTTATTATTTCAACTCAATTTTATGTAACTTTTTGGATTCACTTCACACGTATAGTCTACATTGTTTTCCAATGAGGTTAATAGCGGTAGATAATAAATATCGATGCTTCATCTCAGATATACAAAAGTTTGTATGACGTAAATACTGATTTATCGAAATTGATAGAAAACAATACTGGAGATTGACAGTCGACATTGCTATAGATGTCACGTTCATCTATCGTGATGTCCATCTATTCATGTATTCTCTTTTTTTAGTTCACTGTCATTGTTTTAGTGTTTCATGGGTGTTTTAGCCCTACCAATTAAAACATATATTTGATAGTCCTCACTACAAACGGGCATCTGAAACTAAACTGGAATTCAACCACACTCTTAGCTCTAAACGAGTATGTGAAAATGTAGGCTGTATGAGTAAATGATAATGCAGAAACTATTTGTGACTAATTATTTTCAACTTACTTTCAGGTCCATTGTCGGTCATTATACAGAAAGGAAGATATCAACTTTACCCGATAAATAAAAGGATTTGTTCAGAATTTGATCCTTATAGAGACACAATATTTGAGTTGTATACACGGTGAGTAGATATTCAGTACAGAGATGGCTGTACTGTTTTTGACTTCCTATTTGCGCCGCACTTTGAAAATTATACTGGGTTTTTCAAAAAAATCGTGCCCGTTTTCATGACTCTACTTTGAACAGTCATATCTTAGTGAATACTTATTCAATTCATTTGAATCGGTGCAATTTTGCCAAAGTAACACAAATCAATTAATTTCTTTAGCATACAAATTGAGTGTTCGGGATTCGATGAAGTCGACAAAGGCCGTTTTTGCCTGGTCCCGACTAGCGAAGGTTCTACCGAGTGAAAGTTATCGAAGCGCTTGAAAAGATGGTAGTCGATTGGCGAGAGGTCTGGGTTGTATGGTGGGTGAAGCAGAACTTTGATGCGCAATTCGTTTAGTATTCGAACAGTGATTTGTGAAACGTGCGGACGAGCATTGTCGTGTGGCATGATCGGACCTCTTCTGTTGACCAGTGCTGGTTTGATGGCTTGGCCTGGTTGTAGGAAGTTATAGTGAATCACACCTTCCGCTGACCACTTTGAAGTGATTATGGTCTTTTGGATGTGTTTTCGCCTTTGGAAAATATATGGGTGCCTCATCGGTGTCCAATCACTGTCCTGAACGTAATCTGTTGTCATAGATGATCCACTTTTCATCAACCGTGATGATCCGATTCGAAAAAACATCGTTTTGATTGCGCCAAAGCAACCAAAACGATGTTTTGGTTGCTTTGGCCAACATTTTTCGATCAAATCTAGGAAATTTCAAGCCTTACAGGCCTTTTTTCAGCTGATCCCATTATTGCCATTTCGTAAACGGTAAGACCTACAAGGTTGGTTATATTGGACAGAAGTTAACTAGGATAATCTTCTTCCAGATCTAAAATATCAGTGGTTGTTTTTGAAATATTTGCCAAAAACTAGGATTGCCAAATTTTATTTCCTGACTCTACTGCCTCTATTTCGAATTAATAAAAAAAAGACAGAAAATCTTTGCAATGCAAAGTTTTTTTCGAAGAGTTTGATCATCAACTTCATTTCTCAAGTACGTGCTATGATGATAATAAATTCAGCTATTTATTTTGATAAAAATCCGTATTCGAAAAAATAAGATTGATAATGAAATCTGATGAACAAAACTGTTTGCAAAACTGTTTATATCAGAAAATAACAAATATGAAGCAATATTGTACAGTACATTCGAAATGGAGGGGGTAGAGCCAAAAAACTAAATTCGATAATTTTAGTTTTTGGCGAATGTTTAAAAAAAAACACTAATATTCCCGAACTGGAAGAAGACCATTCTTGTTCCCCAAAATAGAAAAACGGCCTGTTCCAAGTAATTGTTGAGGTTATTTCTCAATAGTTTTTCCCATTTGAGTTTCACTCCATCACATGATATATGAATAGATGACAAAGAGGTATTTACGGTTAAATATCACCAGGAAACATTTTTGTTCTTCGAAACAGTCAGTTTTTGTTCTAATCAAAATTGCAGGGTAACAAATTGAACAGTAAATAATCATTTCATATATTTTTTCCAGGAAAAATCCCCTATCTCCACAAATCTTGATTCCACAAGATGAAATGTCAATCAAATCATCGAACATCAATTTCAGTAACCCTACCGTCTTTTTTTCTCATGGATTTTTGGAATCATCCCGATCAGACGACGCAGTTTACATGAGAGACAGTGAGTACACCTCATATATACTTTTTTGTAGAGAGTAGCTCGACAAAGAACCAGGCAAAAACTAGCTAGAACTGTACTAACTTTTGTAAACAAAATTCGATAATCAAAATGGTTTTCAATTTCAATAGCTTTGCGAATCATCCTGGCCTTGAAGAAAAACTGTACAGGTTGGGAAATTTTGTTATTAGTTGAAACGGTGCTTCAATTTTCGTTCTTCAGCCAATTTGTCTAGGTGATCAATTTCAACTAGCAAGAAATGAGGTGGTTTCAAAAATAGATTCAAGAAGCGTTGGAAACCCAAAAACTACTTCAAAAACAGTCGCATGTAGACCATATAAATAAGCCCTGCGAGGTCACTTGATATTTCGTACCATTCAACTCATTACCCAGTTTGATTCCAGTCAATAATTATTTAGATTGTCAGTTTGAACGTAAATTAAGTGTTTTCAAGTGAACGACTATCATAATTTTAATAACTACCACCTGAATGTGTCTATTCAGATCATTTATAAATATTTATCAGTTATTTGTGAATGATATTTTCAATTGGTGATAAACTTTCATTTCGTAAAAAAACATATGATATCATGAAGAGGCAGAGTCCTTACCAAACAAAATAACCTTCAGAGCGAAACTTAGCCGTTTCTCTGACGATTTCACTTACCCAGAGAACCTTTTGTATTTCTTTCTTTCCACAAAACAATTGATTTTCCAAACAGGTTCAAGTCTCAATCAATATTATCACTTCTGATGCTTTCTGACACTCTCATACCTATTGAAAATACAAACTACTGCAAAAATTTTCTGTTCCTCACTCACGAAGAACTCGATAGAGGTGAACCATCACTAGGGATTTTCATTGACCTATCAAAAGCATTTGATACGGTTAACCACTCCATTCTGCCATGAACTATGGAAAATATTGGAATTTGAGGTAGCGCATATTGATTGACAGAGACACATCTCTTTGATAGCTAGATAGATTGTGAGAATGAGGAATATGAAAAGCAGTGCAAAGAAAATCGAATGTGGAGTGCCGCAAGAAACTGTCTAGGGTCCATTGCTTTTTAATATTTATCAGCACGGATTGTTCTCGATTGGAACCATAGGACGCATAATGAGTTTTGAAGACGATACTGTTGTTTTTTACTCTGAGCAATATTGATCTGGGGTCAAAGACATGGCAGAGGAAGATTTACAAAAAATTAACGATTGGTTCGACCATAAACAGCTTTCGGTAAACTTCAGTAAAACCTGTTACTTGCCATTTTGTGTACTACACTTCCTCAATTTATTCAAATAACCATCCAAAATTCTACAGTTGACGAAGAAAAATTTGTTATTGCATGATTCTCCCACCAGAATGTTTGCGAAATTGATGACTTCACTTTTCTGGCTAAGTTTTGTTATTCGTTTTTGATTGCTGGTCATCATTCAGACCAGACCAAGGAGGAACTCCTCAGTATGGTCAATGAATGAATCCATTTAATGTGTTCGAAGGACTGAAAAAGTCACTATGCAGTGAATAATATCATCTCTCACAAGAATACATACTCATCGATGATTCACGATAAATCTGTTGACATTAATGGTGGTACGTAGGATGAATACAGTGGATTTCTCATTTTGCCAAAACCATGTCTCAGTGGAAAATATCTAATGCAGGATGAAATAAATAATTGAATTTATTCACATTGAAAAAATTTGTTCAATTGAAAATTGCGAGAAAATTCACAAGTTAATATGAAGCCACCTATTATTTTTGATTCCCAATTCGATGTAGTCATACTTTTTTTACTATTCCTTTCATTTGCTATTCATTTCTAGAACATCTGCTTCTGGGAGACTACAACATCATTTTAGTAAACAGTGAAAGATTATTGGCAGGCCCATTTTATGTGACATCAGCATTGAATTGTTTGCCAATTGGAAAGTATTGTGCGAAATTCGTAGATTTTTTGGTGAGCTTGGGACTACAATTAAAGAATGTACAAATAATTGGACAGAGTCTTGGTGCTCACATCGCTGGTATCACTGGAAAATATATAACTACCGGAAAAGTATCCAGGGTAACAGGTGGGTATCAACATCACTGAACTGTAGTAGTTTCAAACTGACTGAATCAATCAAAAACACTTCTTGTAATTAGAATTTATCTAATCTCAAACAATAGGTACGAAAAAAAAACTGTGTTCTACTTTTGACAACAATGAACTGATCAAAAATTCTACCAGGAAATTTTTGTGCGAAATTTCGTTCCGGAGATTTCAGCTTCGAAGATGAGGAAATGAATTTGATCTCCATCCTTCCAGTGTTTTGTCCTTGAAAATAATAAATACCTCTCGCCAAACGGCTACCATCTTTCCAAGCACTTCGATTACTTGCGAGCCCCCAATTTCAATGCTGACTGAATTCATCGACTTGTGTTACGTTGGCAAAAGGGCACTGATTCAAATGGCGATTATTCCAGTCAAATTTATTAAATATTCACTGACATATTATAGTTTGTAGTAGACTCATTGAAACGGACAAATCCAATACTGATTATCTAGTGTATCTATTGTGTTAACGAGAATTTTCAAGTGAAACTATATTTTTTCAAGGACTCGACCCAGCTGGACCTTACTTTTCTCTAGTTGGGGCAGATGAAAAAATTGGAAAGGAAGATGGATATTTCGTAGATATTGTTCATACAAATGCTGGAGCGTTTGGTCTTAAAGAGAATCTGGGCACTGTTGATATTTGGGTAAATGGAGGATCTCACCAGCCGGCTTGTGATGTTTTGAAAATAATAAAAAGAGCACCTGGAAATATACCCGAACTAGGTAATACTTTCAATATCTAGTATACCTGACAAAATGATTGAAACTTTCGCAGCCGAAGTTTTCAGTGTAACGATTTTTCGGCTACGTGAAATATATTCGTATATTGGTGTGCCAATTTCTCTTCACGCAATCTACCTAATCCAGGTATATGTATTAGCATGCCAAACTACAATAGTCAACATGAACATGCTTTACGTAATTTACCCAATCCAGGTGCCAAACTACCTGAGTCAACATGAACACGCTTTACGCAATTCACCTAATCCAGGTACAGGTAGTAGCACGCCAAATTACTTGAGTTAACTTAAACACGCTTTACGCAATTTACCTAATCCAGGTACAGGTATTATCACGTCCACGTTTAGCATGCTAAACCACCTGTGTCGACATAAATACGCTTTACGCAATTTACTCAATTCAGGTACGGGTATCATTATGCCAAACTATACCCGAGTCAACTTAAAAATGCTTTGCGTAACTTACCTAATCCAGGTACACGTATTAGCACGCTCAACTACCTTAGTCAACATAAACTCGCTTTACGCAATTTACCCAATTCAGGTGCCAAATTACCTGAGTCAACATGAACATGCTTACTTAATTTACCTTATCCAGGTACAGGTATTATCACGTCAAACTATACCTGAGTCAACTCAAACTCGCTTTGCGTAACTTACCTGATCCAGGTAAACGTATTAGCATGCTAAACTACCTGAGTCAACATAAATACGCTTTATGCAATTTACTTAATCCAGGCCCAGATATTAGCATGTCAAACTATTGTCAAATATAGAAAATAATCATGAAATAATTCAGATTCATTTGAGTAGATACATGAATTGAAAGATATTTCAACCTCACTTCAATATTTTAACACAAGAACACTCAGTACTCAGAATTCCATCTTTTAATATGTGATCCGATCACAGGATATAGAATATAAAACAATCTCCAAATACGCAAACTTGGCACAGATTGCATGCTGTGCATTTTACCTCAGTGCAGTGACCGGATCAAATTCGCAATGTCAGCGTATAATTCTTTATAAATATTGATGGAGGTCAAGATCATAAAGAGACAGTATTCAGTATTCATTTGAGTATCGATTGATCATCAGCAATGCAGCACATCTCCCTCTCTTCGATCCTGCTGGGTGGTAGTATAATGTAAGTTTTGTAACATTTGAGTGTGAGTTTATTTTTTCCGTTTCTTTACAATACATATTCAATTAAGTTCTTAAGTAGTTCTTTTATCATTTTGGATGAATGAATGAATGGATGAAACAACAAATAAAAATCCTCTCGTTGATAGCCAAGCGAGTCCTAAGTTGCGACACCATACCTGAGTCAACTCAAACACGCTTTGCGTAACTAACCTAATCCAGGTACACATATTAGCATGCTGAAGTACCTAAGTCAACATAAACACGCTTTACGCAATATACCTAAGCCAGGTACAGGTATTACCATGTCAAACTATACCTGAGTCAAGTTAAACACGTTTTGCGTAACTTACCTAATCCCGGTACAGGTATTAGCACGCTGAAGTACCTAAGTCAACATAAACACGCTTTACGCAATTCATCTAATCCAGGTAGAGGTATTAGTACGCCAAACTACCTGAGTCAACTTAAATACGCTTCATGCAGCCGTAATATCAGCCATCCGAAATTATCTCAGGATGTTTAAATCTCTTGAAGAAGCCAGCCATTCGCACCAGCGAAATATTAGGAAGAAATTTCAAAAATCGACGGTCTTCAAATGGGCTTTGCTCATTTGTGATGACATGGGAAACGAGGAGTCTAGATGGTGATTACGTTAGCAGTAGTTATTTTCGAGGCACTTTTCGAACTGGAAGAGTTTCAAGCATTAGCTAAAATTGACCACGGATTGTAAAAAACCAGTGGTAATCATGACGTTTGATGGAGCGCCATCCATGTTATCAAAAATTTATAGGGTTTGCTATTCAACACTTCAAGCGACATGATCTCAATGCACTGTTCTTAGCTACCAATGGTCCTAGCAGAAGTGTGTATAACAGAGCAGAGCGCAGAATGGCTCCTCTTGGTCGTGAACTGGCTGGTTTAATTTTGCCTCATTACCATTTTGGGTCCCATTTGGATGAATGTGGAGTTACAAGCAATGAAAATCCAGAAAGATTCAATTTCTCGTTTGCAGGAAATGTGTTAGCTGAAGTATGGAGTTCATTGGAAATTGATGGCCATCATGTTACTGCAAAATATGTAAGGCTGGGCAAACAAGATCTTTCTGATTTTCCAGGCATTAAATGGTATACAGAACTTATGCGTGAAAGCCAATACTTGCTTCAACTTGTAAACTGTAGAAACATAGGATGCTGTTGTCCAATAAAAGTGACCTGTTTAGATTACTACACAATAAGTTTTTATCACCACCAGTAAAAGTAAAAGAAACTGGTGATGACTTGGTTTTGGATGATGAAGAGCAAGTTCTCAATCTTCCAGTCAATTCAGCCCTAGGCTCAAATGATCCACTCAAAGATTTTCTACAAATGTAATAGGATCATATTTGTCTGACGGTAAAATTGAAGCTTTTTTTTCTGACTGATTCGGCCGTTACTTGATGAAGATCCATAGTAACTTCATAAACTACACTTCACGATTTGATTTTCACAAACTTTATTTGAGAAATATATCACGACATGTTCCGCTAACACTGTAGCTTCTTTAACAGTTGTTGAACACGAGATTAGGAGATTTTTTGAGAAATACTGCGTGAAATATTTAGGCCAACAACACTGCGACCGTTACCACATGGCCTCTGATAATGCCTACCGCAGAAGTAGATGAAATGTCGGGCACGAAAATCTGCAGATCACGACCAAAGAAACCGGAAAATAGCTTTCTCCGGCCAGAAAATTTTCATTCGTTAAACAAATCTTACTTGGTATAATACAAAAAAAAACTATACTGTTGTTCAATTGTGATAGCATGGTGATAGAACTTGGGGAAAACAGACAAATCTAAGAGACACATTCGTTCTGTGAATCTTTAAGTTTCGTGCCAAGATCAATGTAATGTCAAAAAAATTATGTTTTCCATTGATTATGAGGGATGATTTTCAATACAGCAGAAAATATTCGCATATATTCATTCAGTGGAGACTTTCCTGCTTCAAATGATTGAAACACATGAGATGGTTAGATTTGTTTTGAAAAAATCACTATGCTTCACCTTCACTTTTGTACGTGAATATTTTCAGACATTTTGAATTTGATTCATCCTATGACCATGCTAGGTTGAACAATATTTTTCAGTTGAACTACATGTGTATGTTTATTTCAGTTTTCTGTAATCACTATCAAGCCTATCGGATGTACGTAATGACCCTTGTTGATCCAAAAAGTTATCCAATCACGGAATGTTCTACTCACAAAGACTTTGAGAAAAGTTTTTGTGATTCAAATGGGAAATCGTATATGGGAATTGATATCAACCGAACGTTAGTATTCAATCCGATTAGCAAATGGGAGACAAGAGTAATTTTTTTTTATTTTCAGGGTCAGCGGTAATTACTTTGTGGATACTGGTGTAACAGCTGCGGAATTCTGAGTTATATTTTAAGAAATTTCAATTTCGTATCCACCCTTCTTGAGTTCATATTTTAGGTTACAGGAATTCAATGTATTCAATTCTAGTCACAAAAGGACTTCAATCTGTTACAACTTTTCGTTTGGATTTTGGAGAATCTTCTCGAATAAAGAGTTCTTCAATAAAGATTTATTGATTTCGACTCTCAGCTTCAAAACTATACTGGCCACAATTACCAGCTTCCAGATGGAATTCAACAATTGTTATGGCCAATATCCAGAAGGTTGCTGAACCAGGATTAGGTCAGGTTAGGTCCAAAGTGAGTGGGACTATTCGACCCTCCACCGCAACCCGCAAGGGATTATTGTGGCTCACATCTATTCACATTCGACCACATGAACCCAACTTCTTGACGAAGTCGATTGGTTTGTATGGTGAGTGTTCTTTCAGGTCAGATGGTAGAAGTACGGCTTTGCCGACCTATATACACCTGATTCATTCCCCAGCGGGGCACGCACAAAGTATGTGCTCTGCTGTTTCATAATTTTCCAGACAGAGACGACACACACTGTCTTCCGACAGTCCAAGTCTCTGTATATGATGATTCAAATGACAGTGACCTGCAAGAAGGCCTGTTAGACATCGTAGTTCATCTCACTAGTTCGGACTTCCATTGTCTACTATATAAAATGATTTGAAATCCCTGAAACAAGTAAATAACAATTTCGCTTGATGATGGGTTTCCATATGTTGCGTATTTCTACGCTGGCTTGGCTGAATACGTTGTTGGACAACATGTATGCGGCTTCCTTGAATTTTCTCCTGAACCAATGTTCCTCTCTGTGCAAGATCTCAGCTTGGGACCACTCGATGTTGTGTTGATGGGTCCAAACATGGTCTGCTATTCCTGATTTTGTACTGTACTGCAACAACTGTTTGGTATCAAGCTTCGGAAGGTGTATAAACGCTTTGGAGTGAGACAATCCTATCGAGGGGAGTCGTTTTTGGCAATTTGCTACCAACTTAGACGTTGCTCGGTAGGAGCCAAGAGCTTCCAACACCGCTTGACTGTCCGAAAATATTTTCATCGACTTGTGTATGAGGTTGGATTCTTCCAAATCTCTCCGCACATCATTCAATAGCGTAAATTTCCGCTTGAAATACAGTCGCGTAGGTTCCTAGGCAGATTGATATCTCTGTTTTGTGTCTGCGACTGAAAACATTACTGAACCAGTATATGTATATCAAAGTTGCTCGTAACTTTGTGTCTTTTATAGGGTCTCATCAGAAAATAAGGTGAAATTCAATTTTTCCCAATTTCCATTCGAAGCAGTACCCTTCAGATGTAATATACTTGTACCAGCGTGTTTTCCAATTCTCAAAGCAGTAATGATATGCACTTGTTGATATGTCCTTGAGCTCTCCCAACAATTCGGATTTTTTTCCTGAAAAGTCGAAAATCCCCCTTTTCTCATGGGTCTTTTCAATTTTGGGAACAAAAAAAGTCTATGGGGGTCAAATTTGGTGAATACAGTGGCTGAGGCATGATTACGATGTTATTTGGCCAAAAAATTAGGAACAAGCAATGACAGGTGAGTAGGTACATTATAATGATGCAAAAGCCATAAATTGTTTCTCCACAATACCGGACGTCTTCTTCGTACTGCTACTCGCAAGCAGCGCATATCTTGAAGATAATACTCCTCCGTACGACCATGTAGCAAGAACTCCTGATGCCCTACGCAACGGTAATCGAAGGAAACAGTGAGCAAAACCTTGATTGATCAAGCTTGATGTGCTTATTTTGGTCTTGGCTCTCCTGGACTTTTGCATTCGATGCCATAACGATATATCCATGGGATTAGAAAACATGAAAGAATTTACCATAAATTGCACGAAATTGGTTGGCTGAACATGGAAAATATGAGGAATTTACATTGTGGGAGTCTTTTTCATGAAATAATTTGCACATTAACTCCGTATTCACATCGAAAAATAACCTATTATACGAATGTGCATAATGTCAATGTGAGATTCAAGAAAATATCGTCTCTGTCGTTTTGAAAAACCGAATATTTCAGGAGATATTATAGTTATGAAATTTGTGAAAATCTAAAACATTTCTCTATCGGATTTTAAAATGATTAGTTTTTAGGTTCATAAGACAAACAGTCAACTTTTCTCGCTAATAATTTTTAGAATTATCGTCTCAGATTAGCTGCCGCTTAAGAAGTAATAGAATATAAATTATATTTGTATTGGGTTGTATCCAATTGCAATTAGTCTCGTTTATTCAAGTTTTTTAGGTGAAGGAAGGTCTTTTTGAGGTTAAGTTGAAGAGCAGCAGAAGCCTATCGTCCAGTCTTACTTTTTATTGCAAGCTTGTAATAGAACTATCATTACTATTGTAATGGAACACTAAACTATACAACGACGCCTCAATTTTTAAGAACATGCATTTTGGTGCTACGCAGTTTATAACCTTCCATATCTCACTAGAGTACTTGATAACAAGTTTTGTGCTTCTAACGTTGGTGTAGTTCACGTTTCGTCCTCTTCGAGAATGAAATTTGGAAACCCACGATGAAAGAGTCGTATTATAACTCTACCAAATTGGCTCAGTACCTAGTTGATGATAATAATAATAGCGTTTATTGCACGACAGTTTTCCATTTACAGAGTATACAAAGTATACACAATTAATTGAAAAAAGTTGTACTATTTGATGCAAGCAAAAAAAAAATATCAGTAGAAGGAAGTGAAAGATACATGATGGAATTGGCTGAAAAAAAACCATAACTAACGTATTCAACATAGTCAATGCTTAATAAACCTAATTTCACTATTTGAACTACCAGCATTTCACGTACCTACCTGAGTTTTACCTGAGTTTGTAATGAATTAAATTACCTGAGCTTATATCCCAGTTTCCACATTTGAAAAAATATTCAGTAACGGAGAGTTATTCAATTCTAATTGATCATTCAGTAAATTACTTGAATTCTTGGATCTATTTCTAAAAGATTGGGTTTTAAACTTTTCTCTTCTAAATGTAACACGTCGTATTCATGATTGAATTCATGTCATTTTGCTAAAAGATAGTTTGTAAATATGGAATTGGTCTTTACATTTGAAACAAAACTAACTCAGTGCTCTTCAATTCTTTGGGAAAATGTTCTGCCTATTTGCCCAATATATAATTTTGGGCAAGAGCCACAAGTCGGCTCATATACTCCTGATCTATACGACACCAAGGTTTCGTCTTTATTGTTTTTAAATGAATTTACTTAGACTCAGGTACTTGAAATGTAGGTACTCCCAATTGTAAAATTAAGTATATGAATTGAAGGGGTTATATTTTTAGGAGTGATTAATTTTTGGGAAAGAAAGTTTTTGGCTTTCTACTACTCCATCTTGATACTCCACCACTACTCCTTGCTTTGAAAGATCTCATCCCTTTTTTGTATCAAGATGGAGTAGTAGAAAGCCAAAAACTTTCTTTCCCAAAAAGTATATGAAGTATTGTGTATGTAGAATATAGTTAGAAAAGACTGTCTAAGGAAAATCTCACACTAAAGTGTTTTTTGAATACCATATGAAATGAAACATCGTGTCCTTTTGCATAAAAAAGTAATATTGTGTCTTGGAACAAAAATTCCAATGTCTGATAGTGGTGCAGAACAGTCTATTTTGCCATTCAATATCTTATATAGAAAACATGTTTTTTACGTTGGAAATGAGGAATGTGTCATAAGGAGGTCTAATTACCTCTAGAGCAGATTTTGGAGAAACTCAGACATAAAATACCTCCTTTTGGGGTGAAATTATAAAAAACCTCCAGATCCCGTGCTTTGCCATTGTAAAGTTGGCTCGCTTGGCTCGGTTCTAATTTTTAGGTAAGCCGGTGCTGCGTAACAGAAGTATAGTAAATATTATCGCCGTATTCAAGATTACTGATTGGACTACAAATGCCACTACATTATTTACCCCATTCAATAAATTCTGAGACGAACCCGAACTTTAAAACAAAGGTCCGCTAGTGGGTCGAACTTTTTGCATCGTTTTTATATCGAGTCAGCTGATACATATACTCATTTTTTGACAAACTGAAGGTTTGACACTTGAAAGATTTCTCTTGAGGAATTGAACTAGACGTTGAAGATAATGAATGTTTCAAATATTTGTTTATTGTTCTTTTTAATAGACGTAAATTTTTTTATATGGTAAGTTTTCACTTTACGCTAGTGATTTGAAAAAAAAGTAGGTATATTGATTTGATGGATTCATTTTCGGAAAGTTTCATAGTCGACAAAATTAGATATTCCATTTATAAGTGAGGGGGGTAGTTTGAACAGTTGAATCATAAAATTATAAGTATGGTCGGTTTATTGAAGCTGCGTTCATCAATTTGACGTAAATGATAATGGTGTTTAACAATCGAATAGCATGAAATAGGGTGGAAAAATAAAAAATGAGTTGTGATGTGAACATTTTTCAGCTAGTGAACATGAATGATAATTCAAGTTGAATAATAGAAGTTATTTCAAGTGGAGATTTTGTAGTTTTCGTGATTCGTGTTCTTTTAATGCTCAGAAAGCTGTCTTTTCTCCACAATTAATGTTTCATACTAGGTACATTGTTTTCATTTTGTTTCAAACAAGAATATTATCGATTTCTTCTGTGAGTTTCTATCCTTGAGAAGTGGAATCCTTTTTATCATTTGTTCATTGAAAAATCTCAACTTACGAGGTGAGATAAAAATTCCAAATCTTCGAAGGTAGTGAATTCATTTCGAATATTTGCTTCAATGTGCTTCAAATATGAATGTGAATCATAGAATTCAACATTATTTCATTTCATCAGCTCTCATAGAGTTGGAAGTATTGAAAGTCATTGGTGAATTTTCATGCAATATGACACTTAATACCTAAAAATAGTGGGGTTAACAAGAATAACTAATATTTCTAGGATACCAACTATCATATAAAGCTGACATTAACTACAATCATGATTGCTAATATTCCGGTACATAAATACTATCAATTTATTCTAGATGATAAATTTGTACTCTTCTTTCTTTCGAATGTTTTGCCAACCCTGTTCATAGATACTCATTATTACTCTGAAGTAAATATGCATTCACATCAAAATTATCCCCGCAATTAAATAAGTTCAAGTTTCTGTCTCAAACACATTACCAGTTATCACCTTTTTGAACACATCTGGATTGCCGATAGCGTCATCTAATAATCAGTGAGCGATACTCATGCTTATGAGCCAATCAATATGCCAACTTTCTCAGAAACTTCTCTTAAAGTAACTTTCCAGTTGTTGTTTATTTGTTTGGTAGCCATTGTACAATCATCAGTGGAAAAAGCACTGATTTTTTCGTATCGCGAAGAATGTTTATGGCCATCAGCGGCCATTTTTCCGGAGGCAGAGGTTGGATGGACTATATATACGCTTGTACATATTGCCAACTGCACAAATCAATTTAATGAAGAGTAAGTAAGTACAACAGACTGAATGTCACAGCATTCTGGAAATAACGTCTGATTTTATGCCTCCAATCATCAACTACGAACTGCCTTATGAAGTACTGTTCCCCAGTAGAGAGGACTGCATCCTCAGGGAGAAGGAAATATTATCAGCAGATGCTTGTTGATTCACAGATGGATCAAAAACATCTTCCGGTTCTGGTGCAGGTGTTTTCAGTCGCAGACTCAGGACAGAGATATCAACCTGCCTAGAAACCTATGCGACTGTATTCCAAGCAGAAATTTGCGCTATTGAATTGTGTGCAGAGAAATTGGAAGAATCCAACCTCACACACAAATCAATAAAAATATTCTCGAACAGACAAGTGGGCTCCTGCCGAGAAACGTCTAAATTGGTAGCAAATTGCCAAAAGCGACTCTCCTCGATAGAAAGACTCAACAGATTGTCTCTGGACCGGATTCTCAGCCATACTGGCCTGGAAGGCAATGATGCTGATGACTCCCTTGCAAAGGAGGATGCTGCAAGCAACTTCATCGGACCAGAACCTGTGTGAGCCCCAATAAACCCTTTCGGGTTGTGATGGACGGTTGAATAGACCTATCCACTTCAGACATGGCCTAACCTCACCTTACAGAACCTAACCTAACCCAACCTTTTTTGGGGAGGAGGGGGGAAAAGACCTTCGAATACCCACGGACCGGCTCCGTACGCATGTGGTGTAGCCACTAAAACTCCCCCCTCTTCGCCACGAATGATGCATGCGGAATCATTTTGCGATATACATCACATGCATCTGGCAACTCTCATCCTAGTTGTTTCCTGTTCCTTCCTCCATTCACCTTTCCTGCTCCTCTAGTTCGTCCTTGATTTTTTCCTCCATTATTTTATTCATGAAGCCCCTCATTTTGTCCCAGCTGTGTTCAACTATATCCATGAAATTCTGCGATAATATCTCGTATCCGGTCTCTTTTGGCATAACAGATGTCTCTTTCCTTCCCACCTGGGACACGCAGTTAGAGTGTGTTTCGGTGTATCGACTTCCCCGCAGTATCTGCACAGATTGCTCGCGGTTTTGCCTATTCTTCTGGTGTATTGCCCAAATGACCCGTGCCCCGACAGAATCTGTGTGGTACAATAGTCTACGTCCCTGTTTTTTTAGCAAATACTATCTTTTCACAGAGGGGATCAATTTTTTTGTTCTTGCCACTCTGCTTGTCATAACCTAACCTAACCTAACCTAACCTAACCTGACCTGACCTAACCTAACCTAACCTAATCCAACCTAATCTAACCTAACCTAACCTAACCTTACCTAACCTCCTAACTGATATTTCAAGTCTCCTGATTTTACTTTTCCTAATTTTTTTGTATCGCGAGAACAAAATTTCTGAGCAATGACATGTTGATATACACATATTTACAACAGAGAGTAACTTAATCTAGTTAAAAGAATTGGAATCTCTGGTGTACAATGAATGTTTCAGAAACACCACAACAGAAATACTGCCTCTCGCTTATAACCCAGTGACCAATAATTCCAGTCTCAAATAAACTTTCTGAGTAAATGTATCTAGTTGAAGTCATCATGATTCAGCTACGCCACGGCATGGCTAAAGGCACTGTTGATATAGCCATGATGCCCTCTAGGTGGCTCGAGGGTTATTATCATGACCTACCCAGAACAGTAGGCTAACAATCATAGTTGTCTAAGATATAAAAAATGTTTCATTTTGTTCCAGGATGTATTTGAACGGTTTTTATAATTGTGATTGTGAAGGGAATATAGAAGAAAAGTAACAGCATTGGAAAATAACTTGACCTGCTCGGAGAATTTCATCCACGACAATGACGACCTTTGACTTTTTTCCATTCGAACAGTTTGGATTTGGATCAGAAATTAACGAACATGGCAATAACCAGCTCCATTTCTTGCACAATAACGATTACTCCGATATATCAGTGGATTCCGAAGATTTGGAATATGCTCCGCAGTCAACATTTTCTTTCGAAACTTCAAACGAAACACATCTGAAAGTTCCAAAGAACGACCTGCAATGGCAATCTGTTGTACGGAAAAATAACTCCAGAAACTTGTTTTCGGAAAATGTTGGAAGTATACAGAGATACATCCACTCAGCAATTCATAATGCAACTCCTGAAAGCGGATATCAATCTTCTACTCCACTTACTACAACCAATAATGTGGAGTTTCTGCCGGAAGAACGGTGGCAAAACGTCGATACAAGCTTCCTAAGTGACATTTCCTACCAACCAATCAGTCCTCTTGAAGATGGGACTGGGATCAATCATGATAGTAGCTCAATAGAAGAACAAAATAAGATAATATTAGACCTCGATGAAGTTTTTTCGAATATGGCGTCAGAATGTGTAGAGAAGATAGAGGAGGAACTCAAAAAGAGCGGAAATGAAGTAGACTCCAATGGAACTTCCATTTTAGAGTTCGAACAACTTCCTGGTTGGATGTATTCTTCAGTTGAGAATGGAACTGGTGATTCCACCTCAAAGAATCTAGTTGAACTGGAGCTATCACAAAAAGGTGAGTTTGAAAAATAAACTGTCTCACTTCACAGTTGAATCACTTTTCTGGCTATAGTCTAAGAGGTATGATGGATTTATGAAATTCACTGAATTGCATCAGGTATCAGGAAACTATTGCATAGCGAAACACGTGTTGGGGTTTTGTAAACTGTCTTGTGAAAGTCTCACAATAATATTTTACTTGAATATTACACTTCCAACTGAAGTTGAGATTACATCAATAGTTTGTTCACGAGATAGATGCAAATGAACGTGATGAAAAAAAAAACAATAAAAGATGATGGCTCAGAAATGAGAATTAATAATCTAAAAGTCTTGAAAAAGGAGTGGCGCATAGCTTTAAGATATACAGTGTGTAAAACCAAATAGAATAAATTCGTTATTTCAGTTACTTCTTTAACGTGAAAATGGCACCCCTACCTTCAACCTCTTTCGAATGGAAAATATAGGTTTGTGATATATCGTCAGAAGGATATCTTCAAAAATGTTATCGCTTTCAAGTTTGTTGCAACAATTGAGGTAAAATGAATTAAAATTATGTGGTTATCGAAATTCAATAAAATGCACCCAAAAACTAAAATGTAATGCAAAACGTAATGAAATGTAAAATACGAAAAAGAAGTATGGATGTTAACGAAGTAGATGTTCAAAATGTTCACCGCGAACAACTTGGCAACATCGTAATCTCAAATAAAACTGTCCTATAACATTAATAAACATATCAAGCGCGACCGACCTAATCGCAAGCGTTATTCGTTCTTAAAAGTCACTCAAATCTGAAGGTTCAGTTCTGTACACATTGCTCTTCACATATCCCCATAAAAATAAATCTAATGATGTAAGATCAGGTGATCGCGCTGGCCAATCAATCGCTCCTCGCCTCCTTATCCATCGACTGGGAAATGTTTTATCGAGGCATTGTTGGACATTAAATTGGTAATGATGTGGCTGCAACATATTGCTGAAACCATAGTGTATTCACTGGAACTTGAGGGTTTCCTGGATCAGGATATGAATTTGCTGAACTTGGAATGACATCATTTTGAAGTAGTGCCAAATAATTATCGTCATTCAAATTGCCTTCAATGAAAAAGGAACCAATGATATGGTTTCCTACAGTCCCCGCCCAAACATTAACCTTTGGAGAGTATTTCGTGTGTTCTTCTCTCATCTAGTGAGGATTTTCCGTTAGCCAGTAGTGGCAATTTTGCCGATTAGCATGACCGTTAAAAGGCAAAGTACACCCATTAGAAAACATAATGTTATATAATTGGATGATATTGGTATCCAACATGTCCATCATTCGCGCACAAAAATTAATTCTTCTATCAAAATTGTCTTCCATGAGCTACTGAGTAGGTATCATTTCGAAGGGATGCATTCTATTTTCTTTTAATACGTTTTCTATGGCTAACATTGTATGTAGTGGATGCCTGTCTACTCGATGTATGTGGATTTTCTTCAAACTCAAGCATCACATCTGATTCGAGTTCATCACTCATTGCATTGACAGCTGCTTTTTAATCTGCCCACATGACCAATCTCGTGAAACTGCTTCTCTATTTTGCTTATTGTTCTTTGAGACATGGTCTGTAAATTAGGAAATTTCTCATGAAATAGGCGAGCTATTTTCTACTATCGTGTTCAGGTTTTATCTTCGTAATCAACCATTTGTAAAACTGTTATTTTATGCATTTCCGTTAATCTAACCATTTGTCAGACTTGAAGTTACCGAACTTCAAACTCAAATTCAAATACTGATAACTGATGTTGTAACATACCAAACAAGTTGAAAAGGCGTTTTGAACTAACGTTGCTACGAAAAATCTTTGTAGTTTTTTAAAGAATGCCATCTAAACAAAAATATTGCTATGATTTTTGCTTATTTTCTTATTATCAAAACCTCAATATGAAATAAGTTTTGAGTATATTGCAATAAGTTTTGAGTGTATTTTATCGAATTTCGGTAACAACACGTTTTCAATTTATTTTGTCCTAATTGTTGCAATAAACTTGAAAACGATACTATTTTTGAATTGAGAATGGAGAAATCTTTCAAGCGATATATCACAAGTCTATACTTCTCATCTGAAAATTGGGGGTTGTACCTGTCGTTCGACGGAGGATGATGGTAGGGGTAGCATTTTTCCGTTGAAGTATGTCAAATTATAATGTAAATTCGACTTGTTTCTGGAAATAATGAATTCATTCCATTTGGCTTTTGTACACTGTATTTTCATAAGGGTTTTTTCCCAAATGGAACAAAAATCACTGCCTTTTGACTTGCAGACTGATTATACCAGAAGAAGTATAACGTAGAATTTTCCATTTTTCGTCATATGAAAAATATCAAAATTGTGGCGAAGAACTTCATACTTGTGTAGAAAAGGTCAACCTTCAAGTTCACCTACATAAGTTACAGCGGCAATTCAAAGTTTTCAAAAAGTAAAATATCATTTTCATCACTCAACTAGTTTAGTGATCCAGTAATTTTTCTGAAGAATGGTTAGAAAGATAATATGATCACTTTTTCCTCAAAAAAACACTTATTTCTTTGCCATCGTTTTGAATTGAATCAAATTCTTCTTCAGGACTCGAAAAGCAGTTTCATCATGTTAATATTACTATTTAGAAAAATTTGGTTGTTGCAATGTTTTTTATTTTTTCAAATGTATCTAATATGTCTAATGGTTTTTAAAATACAATCGTTTTTTAAATCAAAAATGGATTCTGTTATCCAACAAAACTTTCTCCATCCAATTGGGGATCCATTTTACCTCCAACGCCATTATGCAATTTTCCTTAGCCCGAAAACAACTTTACGCTGCTTAAAGTTTGTCTCCCACTTGTCCGGCACAGCACAGCAAGGTCCGGCACAGCACAGCAAGGTCCGTCCCGTCAAAATACGGATAGGATTGGAACAATGAAGGTAAATGGACAACCGTCCACAAGCCCGGCACGGCACAGCCAAGAGCGTCCGACGCCGGAAAGGATTTTGTCTCTCCGATCCTGTCCGGCAAATAACGGTACGTGCTGTGACGGACTGGCCAAGTGAGCGCATCGTCTGTGAGAGCTTGCCAGCATTAACTTGTCCAAACCTGCCTGGGAACTTTATGTTCTGCTATTCCAACAGTTAACAGCACAGTGTCAGACGGTAACTATAAAAATGGACTAGGAAAAATTGAACTGCCTGTTTAGGTAAGCTGTAGAATATCCAGAAGTTCTGAAAATTTGCATGAAGTCATTTGAAAATACTGGAAAAATTTCTTCTCGTCTCCTTTCAGGTCGTTGAAAAGATGATGGAACTCTTCCAGATATGCCCTCTTTTGATTATTGGAATGGACACACATCCTTCTTCATTCAATAATGCGGCCACTTTAATGACAACTTCTTCGTCAGAACTGCTAGTGATAGACATGTTTCTGTAATCGCTCGATGTCAACTGTTATTCCTTTGAAACCGAACAACCAGCACCTTCAGAATGCTGGTTGTAGCTGGACAAGTGGGCAATGCTACCACCCGTCGCCATTAGGCGACGGACAGCGCCGTGCTGTGCTGTGCCGGACAAGTGGGCGACAAGATTATGTCGTTGCAATGACATGTCACCGGGAGATGCCCGGTGAGACAAGCATCCACCATTTATGTAATGGTTCATGATATTGCAGTGATCAGAGAACCATAAATAATATAGTCCAGTCATATTAGGAGTTTCATCTCGAAACTAATATGATCATTATACAGTGTGTCAATTTTAAAACTTACAATGGGCTATATCTCACGAACGACAGCTGTTATCGAAAAATGCTCGAAACCGTTTCAAGGATAGTAAAGGGGAACTGAAGTGACATGAAAGAGAACTCACCCTCTTCAACCCCCTAGGCCCCACCCACCAAAACACAAAACGTTTAAATTGCAAACCCCTACTTGTGATATATCATTGAAATACTATGAAAAATGATATCCAACGGTATGAATAATAATTGTACAGAGTGAAACAATAATTGTGAAACTTTGGCTTGAACGAAATATTTCATAAGGTTTTTTGTTAAACTGCAAATTTATTAAAAATGTCAATTAAGTGAATGTTCAAAGTGGGTAACGTTGTTTTGTGAACAATAATTCAGCCTATTTTGAAATTCTGTACGAACTTTGGAAAATGTTGTTCTAGTAATGGCGCGACATGCTTGCGTAATTATTTCTCGCAATTTCCCAAGTGACGCAGGTTGAGATTCATAAACAACTCACTTGAGGTGACCCCACAGAACAAAGTCAGGTGGCGCCAAGTCTGGTGACCTTGCTGGCCACTCAATGGGACCTCTCCTTCCAATCCATTTTTCGGAAAATTAGTATTCGATCAGTGCCTATCTGGAGCTGCATAGTGAGGAGGTGCTCCATCTTGTTGGAAGTGCAGCAAATCTTCTTCTACAGCTAGGTTGCCTTGGTCGTCCCTTTGGTCAGCTTTTCAGGATATTGAGTGTGACCTTCTCTGAACCGGTGCGGATTCGCATCACTCCAGTACATAACTACAGTTTTGTTTATTTACGTTACCATTCAGCATAAAAGTACATTTACTACTGAAACAAATATTTTTTAACATCCTCGGTTCAACGCGAATTCTTTCAGTCATGACTTCACAAAACTCAATTCGTTGGTCTGGATCATCATCGCCGAGTTTTTGAAGAATTTGTGTTTTGTACGGATGAAACTTATGTATGTCACTGCAGATCCCTGACGTGTTGATGCAGTAGGCTCCATTGCAAAATTTCCAAGGACCTCAATTTGGGTTGCTTCACTCAGTAATCTTGGGGCATTTAATTTTTTATTTTGCACTGATCCCATTTCTATAAACTTTTCAACTGAATCGTGGACGTCCGCGTGACTTATATTTTTGTCCAGATGCCTTTTATGAAATATTTGAGCTGTTTTTTAATAACACTGGATCTGGGAGGCAAAAATGAAAATTATCTCTACGCGCTCAGGTATACTGTAAACAACTACAGCTCAATGACAGTACAGATCGTACAAATGATGAAAACTAATGACATTTATCAGTCTCAAACAAACCAAAAATATTTGACTTTGACAGAACCCAAAATAGAGATCTTTCCAACTCGTTTTGCAAAAACGGCAAATTGAGTTTTTATTCAACAAAAAAAGTATCGACGGACACTTATCATGTAAAATAATAGTCCAGGAGATAGCATTACAAATAAAAAAGTTATAGTGAGCCGGCTGATATTAAAGTTAGTGCAGACTTTGACAATAGGCTGTATTATTGTTTACAAAACAAAGGAACCCACTTTTAACATTTACTTAATTGACATTTTCAATAAATTTGTTATTCAACAAAAACCTCAATAAATATTCCATTTAAGCCGAAGTTTGGAACGGTTTCAAACGGTTTCAAGCATTTTTCGATATCAGTTTTCATTCGTGAGAAAAAGCCCATTGTAAGTTTTAAAATTGACACACTGTATGAGTTTGAATATTCTCTAAAACCGGATTTTTCAGGTGCTTCTACTACTGCAGGAACCAAAAAGAGAAAAACTTTCAGCAAATATCAGCTAACGGAACTCGAAACACACTTTTCTCTGAATCCATATCCGTCAAAGGAAGAAATAGAAAATCTTGGTGCTGTAATGGAAGTCAGCAAAAAACGGTTGAGAATATGGTTCCAAAATAAAAGGCAGAGAGTATCCAGGAGAAAAAAACTATTAGAAAAGATTTATAATAATTGAACCTCTGATGGCTTGCCAAAGAGGTGAAACAATTTCAATAACGAGTAATAATAATAGTATTTCGAAACTGACGACGACTGATGTACTCAGTTTATGTTTCTTTGTATTTTGTATATAATCGTTCGATATTTTTATCATCTGTATATATACATTTCGTGCATGTCTGTATATAGCTGAATATTTGGTGATATAATTGAGTTTTCAGATGTATTTTCGTGTTACTGAAAACTGTGTGACACCCAGTCATTAGAATTGAACGGGTGATTGTGAGGATTGGAAGATGTCAACTCCAATTTGAAATGAAATTGGTCCAAGATTCATCAACTTTTGTCTTCACTATAATTGATGAGAGAAAAATCAATTTTGTACCAGTCTTTCAATGATAGATTTTCCAGTCCTAACATATGTTATACATTTTTCAAAATCCGTGAGATTGAAATAAAAACCTTTTTCGTCAAGTCTATAGTTATGTCTGACTTCAGCTTCAACGCACCCTGTTTCTTTTGAGTTTAATTTTGGATGATTAATTTGTCAAGTCTACTGTGACTATGAGTCCCCTCTCCCTTTGAGCCTTAAAAAAAGATAACAGAAGAATTTACGTACATTTTTGGTACTTTTCGATAGGAAAGACTATAGTGTTGTATAATTCACTGGCGAGAGGTAGCAACAAATATTGAGGGGGGTTTGTCATTTCGAAACAAATATCTATTGTATCATATCACTACCTGCAGATGAGAGTTATATAATTCATAAGTTACGCTTTCAATACTTGAATGAATCATTGAATGACCAACAGTATGAGATTTGATTCTGACTTTTCATTAAGTTATAAGGTGAGTTACATCGAGTAGTACTGATTCGATTATCTAATTATGATACATAAGTGGAACTACTCAGAACTGCTCATTTGGAAAATTAATGAATGGTTCATGCGTGAAAATATTATTTGAGCACAATACTATGCGACGACTTTCCTCGACAGGAAGACTTAACAGATTGTCTCTGGTCTAGATTCCTGGCCATACTGGCCTGAAAGGCAATGAGGCTGCTGACTCCCTTGCAAAGGAGGGTGCTGTAAGCAGCTTCATCGGATCAGAACCTGTCATTGGCATCGCCTTAGGCTTTGCCGAAGAAAGATTGAACACCTGGACGGTGAGAAGATTTATGGACTTCTGGCAGAATCTTCCAGGATTGACCCGTTCCACGACGTTCCAAGGGATGAACTATAATGTCTAACAGGCCTTCCCACAGACCACTGTCGTCTGAATCATCATATGCAGAGACTCGGACTGTCGGAAGACAGTGTGTGTCGCCTCTGTTTGGAAAATAATGAAACAGCAGAGCACATATTTTGTGCCTGTCACGCTGGGGACCGAATGAGGTTTTTAGAGTTCGACAGAGCCATACTCTTATCATCTGACTCTAAATACCACTCACTTTACACTCAGGATTCAGCTTCAAAGTGGTTGTCGATGGAAATGAATATTCAGGTAGAAAAAACAGTTTTTATGGCAGAACAGAAAAATGAGCTATTGAGCATATCAAAGATATGAAGACGAGGATATACGGATTAACACGACGAGATGTTTTATCTTCGACGTGTCAACTTGTAGTTGAAAATAATGTCACCAACCCTTTCAACAGAGAAGAAGCAGGATATGATTGGCTGGGAGAATTTCTTTCGTCAGCGGCATCCAGATATAGTCCTTCGTGCACCTGGATCCACCTTTACTGCTCGAGCACGAACCTTTGTTAAACCAGTAGTATATAAATTCATCCCACATTACAATGTATTAAAGAGATAAAAAACTATCTGCGCTACCGTCTCTAGAACGTTGACGAGACTAATTTCTACGGTTTGAATGGTTCGTATGAAGATGGAACTGAAAGATGGCGTTCCATCAGGCTCCGTATGGGCATGTAATTTATCTGGTTTTTACCAAATGGTTTGACCATTTTTTCAGCTACATGAAACATCCTGTTGAGGACACAGTCCTGTTGATTTTAAATGGCCACCTTTCACAGACAAACAATTTGAAATTGATATTGGAAGCTCGAGAAAACTACGTCACTATTATCTGCTTGCCTCCACACTGCACCCATAAACTGCAGCCTTTAGATGTCAGTTTGATGTATCCCTTAAATATCTACCACAATCAGTCACTCGAAAAATGGATGAACAACAAACCTGACAGGCCAGTAACTGTGTTTCAGATTGCAAAGATTTTTGGAGAGGCTTATTTGAGAGCAGATGTACTATGGAATGCCATGAATGGGTTTGCCAAAACTGGGATATTTCCTTCGAACCCAGATGTGTTCATCGAAGCTGACTTTATCGCTGCAGCAACAACCGAAATGGAATTCAATGAAGACTTCAGTGTACAACGGTTTCAAGTACACTAAACCTACCAGCAACAGATCCTTCACCAGCATCAGAAACCTTCACTTCACACGTCTTCGCAGATTTGCAGAATATAACACCGTCACCAACTTCTATAAATGATGGGAATCTGTCATTTCGGAGTCCTTCATCGCCACTGCTACAGACGCACCTCAATTGTATGGCCATACATTCTAGAAGATAGCCAATTTGAATGTTACACCGGCTCATATTCATCCTTCGCCCAAAATTTTAGGTGAAAGACGCCATCTTGAGAGAAGACCAATGAGTACGTCAATCTTAACTAGCCGGCCATACAAAACTCATTTAAAGGAAGGAAGAAATGAAAATACAGATGAAGAAGATAAAAACAATAAAACACAATAGAATGTACAGAAAAACATCCTAATAAGAAACAAAAAGGAAGGAGTGTTGAATGAAAGAATGTTGTATCAGAGTCATCTGAAAAAGAAAGACGCAAAATGTATTTTCTGTACGCAAACATTTTCCAAAGATGATAGGGACGAGAGATGAATAAATTTTTGTGTATGCCAAAGATAGAACCAATCAAAACTAAACATGTTCTTTCTCACGAATCAGTAGAAAGTTGTCCTGAAAATCATGAGAAGAAAATTTAATTATATGATTTAGAAAACACTTGCTTCATGAATAGCATTTCACATGTATTTTTCATGACGAAGAATTTCAAAAACGAGATATTAACGATGAACGAGAACGAGAAAGTTTTCTAGTTATTCACCTAACTCAAACAATTGTTCATACAGTTGCAGCTTCATAAGAATGTATCATCTTTCCCACCAACCTATTTTCTGGAGTCTTGAAGTATACTTGATACTCCTTAGGATAACAAGAGGATTTCTCCGAATTCTTGGAGTTCTTGTTGAATACTCTCCGTGAGCAAAAAAAATAGCAGAATCAATACTCCTGACCGCTCTGGATTAAGTGGTTCAGTACAGTCTCGTCTTGTGTTCTTAGATCTTCTGCTGGAAAATCCTCACTTGTTTACTTTGTAGTAAATGTTCAGGAGGTAGCGAAAACGTAAGTGATTTTCTGAATCTTCAACTAGCGTTCCCTAATATAACTGATAACCAGTCCGTGCAAAGCTCATTGTTAAATCATCTGAAAATGGAACTTTCAACGAGTGAAGATCAACTGTATTGCCAAACATTCGCCAATCTATTATAAGAAAACAAGTATACCTGAGGCACCAGTCAATCTAATAATGATCTTCAAATATGACTCAACCTCTGATGGAAGCACCAAACTCTTATGAAGGTTACAGAAAGATGAATACTACAATCTAGAAGACCACTATTATGATCTGCATGCAGTCATGGTTCACTGTGGTACTGACGTTGGATCTGGTCATTATTACGCATTGGTCAAAGACGAAACGGACTGGTGATGTCTTGAATTTATTGGAGCCTCTGGAGACACCCTACATTTTGTTTTATGGAAGAGAGGATATTGGCAGATCAAAATCTTCACATGATGTGGTGCTGGAGGTTTTTCCGGTCGAAAAAGTTAATGCGCCACTGGAATCAATGAAGTCGCCCTGGAGCGCCAATTGATTTTTGTTGTTTCATAATTTCATGATTTGTATTATTTTCTTGTTTGATATATAATCAATTATCAAATCATCAATAGATACAAATAATTTTACGATATTCAAATAAACTTTATTCAACTAGATGGTGCGTCATAAGAATTTTTTTTTTTCATTTTTCTTAATGTTGCTTTTGAGAAGTGAAATTTGCTTAACTAGATTAGCTGTGTCACGAGATAAGTTACTTACCTACTTTAGAAGAGTATATAATTTTTTTAAACCACAGATCTCATACAATGTGATGATTGATTCCTTCTTCAATTATAATGGATACCGACTAACTTGATTAAAGATAGTTAACACTGATTATGACTTTATTCAGGTAATTAGGGTGAGGGCAACATGATCCTTGGATCATCTTGCCCCTACCGCAGAGATCATTTCGATCACCGGGGTGTACAAGATATTGCTTTCAAAATATTTCAAAAATGGTATTTATAATAATAAAACATTAGAAAATATATATTTTGAGAATGACAACAATTAGATAGATGAATTTACTATGGATGAACTTATTTGTATCTGCAATAAATAGAATACCATTCAAACTAAAAGCATTCTTCCTTAAGTGAATCATCTCGTACACCTTTCCCCAAATATATTCGACAATAAACTTCAAAATAATGACAATTCTCCCAATCAATCGTTTTATCAATCAATACTGACCCTTGGCAGATCAGAGCTGTATTCGATATTCTGTTGAATCTGTTAAACCAGCTGTCGCATCCCTACGAACGACAACCCTCAGAAGTCGGAACTTGTGCAAGCTAAGGATTAACGAGGTCTCACCCCATAACGTGTGATTCCTAACACTGAACCAATTTCAATAATCTTTTCATTGTCAGAAAACGACTTGATTCAGAAGTAACTCATGATACTTTTATCCACCTAGTCATTCACGGTAGTGCTATAGTTACTTTTGTTGGATCTATAAGTTATAGAATTGATCAGTGTTCCACGATAAAAACCAAAACTCTGAACTGCACCAGTGCAAAAGCCAAGGTAACTCGTTTACCTATGCATTGAACTGTTTTGTTGGGTTCAGTTCTGAAAAATACCCAACAACGCAATCTGAATATCACTGAATGAAAATTATTATTATTATTAGTGACTTACACATTGAAGGTTTCTGAATTTTCGCGTATCTATAGGTGAAAGACTTTTCAAAATCGATTGACTTGTTTCCAGTTCATTCTATACAAAACAACAAACTTTTTCTCATTAAAATTTCAATTCTGATGATCAATCTAAAGTTGGTAACTCAGGTATATAGATTATTCAATAAATGGAACATGTTTAAGAACTCTTCCGAACTGGATTTAGTCTCCAGCGATTCAAAACCAATGTGAATCGCTGCTTTCGCACAGGCACCGCTCTGGGAACGCCTTAAGGATTTTTATGTAGTGCTTGTGTTTTTTCTTCAAAAAAAAAAAAATTGAATCAAATGTTTTTTTTATTCACTTAAAACAAATCATAGAAAGTATATAAACCATAGTTCACTCTGTAATAACAAAGATCCTTCTAGAGCCTCTTGTAGATTTGCTTCGCCTCTATGCCGCCCAAGTTCATGCTCTGTAGCAAGAAGAAACAGTTAGAACAGTATTGAATAACTTTAAATATAATATATTACCAATTCAAATCCAGAGTCGGTGAATTTGTAAATTCTGGTGAGGTTTACACCCCCCTCTTCTATCGATACAAGTTTCAGTGCATCTCCCTCTTTTGTGACGGTGGTCTGAAAGATTACGGAAAGTTCAATAAATTTAATTCTAGAGAGAAAGTGATTATGCATACCTTCGAAATGGAACCATCTGTTTGTTTTTCTTCACATTGTTTACCCAAAACAAAGTGGTTTTCAAGATCGTCTCCGAATCCTTCAATTTTGATAGTGACTTTATCGCCATCTATGCCCACCGTTACAAAGGGCTTAGCTTTATCAGCAGCAGAAGCTTGCTCATCAGTGCTTCCTGAAATGAGTATCCTTGGTTAGCGGAAATGAATAGTAAATATTATTTTTATTGATATTCATATACATTTATGATATTCTGAAGAGTTTATGCTTGAAAATCCATTCTATGTTGCATCATCTTTCTGATAATTATCATGAATGGACTGACCCGTTACTTGCTGAAAATTAATAACACTGATCATGATATATGATGGAATCGGCCGATACTTGATGAAAATCCATAACTAACGTATTCCAAAAACACTTTATTGTGAGATTTTCACTAAATTGTTTTACAAAAACGCAACACGTGTTTCGCCATACAATGGCTGGCGTGTCTTTCAACTAATTCTACACATGCTAGTTTATGGAGTACCTGAAATCAAAGTACCTGTAAACGAAGTACCTGAATTTTAAGTAGCTGATATTTTACCTGAGTTTCTAACGAATTAAATTACCTGCACTTATGTACCATTTTCACATTTGAAAAAATATATTCAGTAACGAAGAGTTATTGAGTTCTAATTGATCATTCAGTAAATTACCCGAATTCCTGAATCTATTAATTCCTAAACATTCTAGAAGATTAAGTTTCAAACTCTTTTCTTCTAAATGTAACACCTGAACTGAATTTGATCAAACAAATCGCGATTAATAACGGATATAAGGTAGATATTGTAAACTCCATTCTTTCCAAAAAACGACAAAAGCAAGCCATGGATCTGGTCTACCCATATTCAAGATGCGATAACGTTAGTTATAAGACATTGACATATGTGGGGGAACCAAACAGGAATATTGCCCGTTTTTTGAAGAAAGAAGGCGTAAACGTAGCTTATAGAACGAATGATAACCTAAGTAAATTTATTAAAAGCAATAAGGACAAAACTTTGGTGTCGGATAGATCAGGAGTATATAAGCTGACTTGTGGCTCTTGTCCAAAACTGTATATTGGCCAAACAGGAAGAACATTTTTCCAACGAATTAAAGAACATAGGAGTAGTTTTGTAAATAGAAAGAAAAGAGTTTGGAACTTAATCTTCTAGAATGTTGAGAAATCAATAGATTCAGGAATTCGGGTAATTTACTGAATGATCAATTAGAACTCAATAACTCTCCGTTACTGAATATATTTTTTCAATTGTGAAAATGGTACATAAGTGCAGGTAATTCAATTCGTTAAAAACTCAGGTAAAATATCAGCTACTTGAAATCCAGGTACTTCGTTTACAGGTACTTTGATTTCAGGTACTCCATAAACTATATATATATTTAGTATGGAATGTGTAGAATTAGTTGAAAGACACGCGAGATGAAGCCATTGTATGACGAAACACGTGTTGCGTTTTCGTAAAACAATTTAGTGAAAATCTCACAATAAAGTGTTTTTGGAATACGTTACTGATCATGATGATGAATAAACAATCCTCATGAACATTTTATATTTCTAGACACGTTTTTTTAACACCGTAGCTTCCTCCTACTGTGAAAATTGTTCATTATTCCCATCGGATTAGATTAGATTGTCGGGGAGCGATTTATTATTCTTCTTGACAGAACCTGCAGTGGGTTTCTTCTGTCAGACTCATGTTGCTCCATATGTTTCCACAACCTTACGGTTATGGTTTAGCAGGTCTTCCGTGAATCTAAGCGATGATTTCTCTCGCCTGCCCCATTCCTTGGAGCTCATTGATTAACAAATTCTCATGATGTGTGTTGGAATCGGTCGATACTTGATGAAAATCCATAACGTGTTTGGGTGAAATTTTATTGCGAAATTTTCAATAAACACTTTTACAAAAACGCAACACGTGTTTCGCTATACAGTAGCGTTTTCGAGTGTGTCTGTGCTAGTATGCAGTTCAAGTTGTTTCTAACGATTCTCAGCCCGAACTGTGCATTTTTCCTTGATAGAGTCGCACTTGAGATATGGAGTTGCCTTTTGGGGCTTTTGTATCCAGCAACTACTGAATTCAGTATTCGTTCTACAAAAAAGGGCTGTCAGATACATATGTAGGTCAAAATCACAAGACCACTTTAGCTCCTTTAGAACTCCTGTTAGAAACCGTTTGCTCGATTCACAAAAACTCAGCAGCAAATGATGACAGACGTTACTACACGAGAGGAAGTCGGAATTTACCCTTGACAATCGCAAAATCAGCAACTACAAAATTTTCTTTGATATATGAGCAAGAAAATATACAACCACCTTCCAATGTGCTATAGGGCAATAGCAAATTTGGAAAAATTCAAAAAATTTGTTAAAGGAGTACTTTTGCAAAAAGCCTACTATGACTTAAAGAAATATTACGATGATGTATTTTAACTCTTAGTATTTCAGAAGCTTACGTATCTGTAATGATTCATTTATTTATTATCGGTAATGGATTATATAATGTATTATTCATGTGTACTCGATTATGTACATAATTATTGTTCATAATTTTATTATTTTTTTTTTAACTTTAACATTATTGACTTCATAAAGTTTCACTAGCTTTGTCAATAAGGATTTCTTGGAAAATAAAGCATGATTGATTGATTGATTGACTTGTGTCCGACTCTCAATACAGTTCATGTAATCAATATAAGAAATTTTTTAATTACATTATTACTGGATATTTTTCTGTAGTGTTGTATTGTGCTAAGTAAATAAAAACTGTTTCTGTTATCTTTTTATGTCCTATTTTGTTACATATACATACATATATTTAGTATTTACTTGAAACTGTATATTATTTTAAAGTTTATAGTTTTATATGACTAATTAACAATAGCTAATATGTGCAATTCTGTTTGTTTGTTTTTTATATTTGATTATTTCAACCCAGAAATTTATTATACACCTTTTATTAATAATAAAGGAAAGCCCAAAGCCGCTAGGGGTGAACTTTGATCTAATTATATTCATTCAAGGATTCAAATTATTTATTACTAGAATATAAATATTTTGTTTTGGTGAAATTTCCATTTTGTTAAGGACTGGCAATACTAGAAGCAATTAGACATTCTTGAGGTTTTTACTTTCCACTCAACTAAAATGAGAAAAATTTATAGTTTGATTCTAGAAAATTTTAATTTCCACTTATACTAGATAGAAATTTTCAATGTCATTATTTTTATTTGGTGTTACGTCGTTTGCCATTTTTCAAATTTTTTATTCAAAATACAAAATAGATCAATGATTCGTATTTTGAATTTTGAAACCCTTTACCTACCATTTTTGAATGTCCTAACTGTGCCTGACATTACTTAACTTTTTTGACAAATCACTTCATCAAGATATGTTTTTGTTACATTCAGCTTTTTGAATTCTATTTTTGTTATTTTTTATAATCAAAAATTGAACAAGCAGTAGGTATCAGAAACATATTTTGGTTTACTGTGAAATTTCATAATTATTCATTAAGTAATAATCTATAAATCTTAACTGAGCTGATTTCGATCGGGACAACCAGTTGATTTCAAATAATATTTAATCTGCCCTCGCGCTGCCCTCTATCTCAAAAACGATTCAACGTATGAAAAAATGTTTGGAACAAAATTTGTAGAGAATTCTCTTCAATATTGATGATGCATTCAATCAGCATAAAACCCATTGGAAACGAGATATTGGCAAAAAACGTGCAAAAATTCGTTTTTTTTTTTTTAATTTTGACCCCCAATTTTTGAAGGTGAGGCCGTCGAATCGTAAGTGAATTTTGAGAATACTTTTATGATGCCAAAATATAAAGTTTATACAAATTTACAGCTGGGTACGTCAACTTTCCGAAATACAGGCCTAAATCGACCTAAAATGACTGGACAATTTGGGGTTGGGATCGAACTCACGACCTTCCAGTCGGGATTCGGGCACACTATCACTGCGCCAATTCATCGCTACTATTGAGAGTTACTGGTTGTAAAATTTTCAAAACGAAATGTATACAATTTCATCACATACGAGATAGTCAATGCAAATAGTTGAAATTTAAGAAAAACTAAGAAGTCGGTAAACTAATTCATGTTATGATATTGAAGGTAGTACTAACCTATTTTTTTCAAAAATTCATAGAATTTCACATTTTCAACTAGTTGGTATCTTCCCGCGATTTGCACCATATTGATGAAGAAGTTTTATTATTATTTTTTTTCAGTCTGTAGTCGCTTGTTGAACTGCATTTTCTAAATGATCACAGGCATTTATATATAGTGGAATATATTAAAATGAAGTGTATAACCACTTCAATTTTATTTATTTTCAGATTACAAACATACAACTGAACAAATATTGAGAAACAAATTCACTCTTATCTATTTTCATTAGAATGTGATTATTTCGAACACTGTGGCTATCTATATACTCAATTTCCGATGTTCCAACGTACACAACAGAAAAATTGAGTCATTTTTCGACCAATTATGACAGATACTTGAGCAAATATTGAAAATAATTTCAAAGAAAACAAAAACAAAATTTGCTCCACAACAGATGAATACACACATCGGAAAAGTCTAGGGATATTTTTATAACATAATGAATATCATAAAAATAAATGCATGAGGTCGTTTAATTTCGATTAAATTGGTACACTCGACCATCCTGTAGATTTCTATGTGTTGAACAGAGCCTGCAAAAACGGTAACTAATCTTTTATCAAGTTTTTTATTTTTAAAAATATCTCTAGACTTTTCCGATGTGTGTACATCTATATAGCATGTTGAGCAAGTTTGGACTCATCAACATAACATCAAGTGGTCTCAAGCTGAAATCGTCCACAAGGAGGAACACTGGTTTATAGGAAAATTCAAAGAAGTCGCATACACAGGGTGTAACATAAGTACGTTAAAATATCCAAGTGACGTATTTCTGAAACAATTTTAAGAGAAAAAAGTCTTTATGAACTTGTGTCCGAAAATGCTTCGTTTCGGAGATACGGGGTGTTGAAATTGAATTTTTTTGTTCTTTTTTTGAAAATAACTATTGCAAATAATAAGTTTGTTTCACCAAATTCGGTACCCGGAGTTTTTTTGACGTGGGAAATCATAATTTCGTATTAATTTTCATGTAACATCTAGAGGGCGCTGCGTACGCTGTCATTATTTATTTCAAATGGTCCTAACTTTTTTGTCAGTGAACTTTTAGTACTTTTCATGAAAAAACCTAATTCCCACACCTTTTCCAAGTGAAAAAGATACACTTCCTCAACAACGCTGAAGGTGATCGTTTACGAGATATTTACAATTTTCTATATCGATGCATATTACTTTATAGCCAAATTTGATTTCAATAATGTTTGTCACTCTCCGCTTGCAAATTGAGTTAATTAAATCGAGTAGGCTATGGAAGTTTGTTTATAAAAATAGAAGATCGCTGTCACATTTTTAACTATTAATTGACAAGTTCACAGTTCGGAGTTTATAAAGTGATTTTTTGGTACCACGCCCGACCTTACGAATGCTGAAATAGCTGATATGGTTTTTGCATACGGCTTGGCTGACGGAAATTCAAGCGAGGCCAGACGCACCTATCAGGAAAGGTATCCCCAACTCGTGACTCCTTGTGCAGCGACATTTGCGAATCTTTTCCGGCGACTTTCCGAATTTAGAAGGTTTGACACAAATTCTGCAATAGCACGGCCACGGACTACAAGAACTGTAGAATTGGAGGGGGCTGTTCTCGAAGAAATTAGTGAACATCCAGAGACAAGTACAAGAAACATTAGTCAAACTTTAGATGTGAGTCACATGACAGTTTACAGAAATTTAAAGAAAAGCAATCATATCCTCATCATATTCAGCGTGTCTCGGCACTTACGCTACGTGATTTTCAACTACGTATCGAATTTGCTCAATGGCTTCAAAGAAAAGTCGATCAACATCCGCAAATTTCATCGATAATGCTCTTCACAGATGAGGCAAATTTTTCAAGAAATGGTATCATGAACTTCCATAACAACCACATCTGGGAAAAAGATAACCCACATGCGATAACGTCAACTCATTTCCAAGACAGATTCTTTTTTAATGTATGGGTAGGCATAACTGGGGATTATTTAATTAGGCCCTATATTCTACCTTTACGTTTGAATGAAGATGCTTACCTACATTTTTTGACACACGAGCTTCCCCAACTTATGTAAGATGTTTCCATTGGTCTCCGAAATACCTCTTGGTTTATGCACGATGATGCTCTTGCTTTTAGACGTAGCATATCCCCAACGCTGGATAGGAAGAGGAGGGACTGAGCATTGGCCCCCGAGGTCACCGGACCTCAATCCCGTCGATTTTTTTGTTTGGGAACACCTAAAATCACTAGTTTATAGCCCCATTGAAAACGAGGAAATGTTGAGGGATCGCATCATAGCTTGCTGCGAAACGATAAGAAACACTTCGGGCATTTTTCAACAGGTGCGGAATTCTTTGATGAGGAGAGCAGAAGCTTGTATTACTGTTGAGGGTCGTCACTTTGAACAGTTATTGTAATAGTTGTTTCGTTCAATTTTCATATGTTTATTTTCCCAATAAATAACATAGTAATTTTTCGAATTGTTTTTTTACAAAGTCCGAAATGTAGCACTTTCTAATTGAATAATTAAACATGACATTTTTTTTTATTTGGATTGAATAAGCAGAAAACTTGCAGATACGTAGCTACTTGAATGACTTCATTATATTACCTACATGTCAATCAGGTTTCCGACCAAACCACAGCTGCACAACAGCTCTTTGGAAAGTTGATGATTTACATTGTTCTGTCGACAATAATAAAATTTGTCTTCTAGTATTGCTGGATTACTCTAAAGCATTTGCTTGTATTAACCACTCTATACTTCTGGCAATACTGAAGTACCTGGGTTTTGCCTCTAGCGTGGTCACTCTGCTTGGAAATTATCTGCTGAACCGTTCTCAGTGTGTCATATTCAATAACAAAAAATCGAATACCTTCAAAATAAATGATGGGGTCCCTCAAGGATCGACTTCAGGTCCATTTTTCTTTGTTTTATATATTTCTCAGTTCTCACACTGCCTTCTTCACACTTTCATACATTGTATACTCGAGTAAAAAATCTTTTGAACGAAAAAAATAAAATAATACTCTGCGATGCACTGGTACTGTCTCATGTCAACTATGCTGATACTTTTTATGGTCCAGGACTCTTGAAATCTGACAGGCAGAGGCTTCAAAAACTGTAGAATTCGTGCATAAGACTCGTCACTCTCTGAAGAGATTTATGCTACAATCCAATTCTCTTCTTCTATAACATTGATCAGTTCACACCTATACATAATGTTTTTACCATAAATATGTAGAAATTATCAAATTCATCATTATGTTTGTGACATGGTTTTGTCACATATTAAAGATCAAATTCTAATTTATTCGTTTTTTGCTTCTCTTCTCTGCTTTTTTCTTTATTTTTCCTTTGCTTCTCTACATTTTTTTTTTCATTGAGTTCGATTGCAAATAATATGTATTAATATAAGTTATCTTTCACTGGTTGGATGAAAGAGCAATTTCTTCCTTGATTTATCATGCGCAGAAGAAGAAGAAGAAGAAACCTCATGTCCGATTGAGATACGTTGACGACACCTCCGTAATATGGAAACATGGGAATACTGAACTAGACGCCTTCCTAAAACACATCAACAGCGTAAGACCTTCCATCACTTTCACAATGGAGGAGGGAGTCCACAACGAATTGCCATTTTTAGACGTATTGGTGAAGAGGAGTGACACTAAGTGGGAAACATCTGTATACCGAAAACGGGGCGGTATCTGAACCACGAAACCAACCACCATCAATCGAGTGAAAGAAAAATCATCAAAACTTTACTACACCGTGCTTTTGGGCTCTGTAATACGAAGGAAGGTCTCGAGAGGGAACTAGACATCATCAAAATTATCTTCAACGGAATGGCTACTCCAAAGCAACGCGGAAACAGACTATGCTAAAAGACTTCAGGAGCTTCGCAAGGAAGAGAAGCCGTCACCACAACCAGTACTTGGACTTCTCTAACTCAGATAATTATCGGAAATGATAGAAAGATCCAGAAACACTATTTATGACAGCCTCACGAAAACCAGGTCACCAAACGCGGACTGCGATTCAAATAATTGCATTTATCGGATATTCTGTGAGTCCGAACTAATGAAATTCAATATTTCATTTAGTCTGTATGTACCTGAATATTTGATGATAGAATCAAATTTTCTGATGTATTTTCAGGTTGCTGAGAATTGTGTGTCACCCAGTTCAAAAAATTAGTCAATGAAATTGAACAAGTGATTATGAAGATTATGATAATATGATATAAACTCCAATTCAAAATGAAATTTGTCCTAGATCATTTTCCCTATTATTGATGAGGGAAAATCCACTCACATTCAGAGTATCAATCTTTCAATGATAGATTTTCTCGTTCTAACATATGTTATATATTTGCCCGAATCCATCAGATTGAATCAAAAATTTTTGTCAAATCTATAATAATATCTGACTGCAGTCCCAATGAACCCTGCATCTTTTTTGCTTGAACTGTTTTGAATAATTCACTTGTCAAGTTTACTGTAAAAGTCCCCTCCCCCCCTCAGAATTTGAACTTGAGAGATGCCAATGAAATTCAAAGAAAAAGGTACGATTTTTGGAATTTTTTTTATAGAAAAGACGATAGTGTTATATCACTCACTGCCAAGAGGGCGCAACTAATTTTTTCTCCAAACAAAGGGATCTTGCGATAACTAGTTTTAGATGTTTCTCAATTCTCTATTCTTGAAAATCGAATTGTCCGAGAAAAAAAATTTGAAATAATGCACTAACATTTTAACCTCGGTATTCCATGAAAGTTTGTATTACGATGACTCAAGCAAGAAACATCTTATCTTAGGACACTTTGCAAGTGATACTTATATAATTCATGAGTAACGATTTCAAGTGAAAAACAAATACATGAATGTCACATAAAATGACAAACAATATGAGTTTTCATTCTGACTTGTCATGAAGTATGTGATATCTCATTTTTTCAAGGTGAGATATAGTAAGTAGTACTGAACAAGTTATCTAATCATGATTTATAAGTGGAATTCCTCAGAACTGCTCATTTAGAACTTTATCTAATAAACGATACATGCGTAAAAACGTTCTTCAAGCCCTCCATATAATATACAACGCGAGCAAAGCCGCGGCAACAACAACAACTTCAAAAATCCAGTAACTGCAAAAATATGCCAAATGCGTTGAGTATTGAATAGCTTCGAGTCATCTATAAAGAAGTTTCGCAAAACTAACACATCCGTTATCGACGTCTGCCCTCACGCTTCTGCCCGCGTTCGGGTCGCGTTGTTGGCGATGGCCCTTCATTGCTTAGACTGCCCCCCTACCCCCGTGCATCATCCCCCGTCGTCTCACAGTAGACGCGATGCGTAATAACTTACTGCGTTGCGTCAAGCCAATCTTATCGTGGTAATTTTCAAATGATTCGTTCAAGTGACTTAGCGTAAAAGACAGAGTTTATCTATTTCGAATTCTTCAAACGGCAGTTGTATCAATTTCCATAAGAATTTAATAGATATTCTAAAATGTGCATTGTAAAAAACTATCCAATTCAATTGTATCTATGGCTCAGTGTTTTGCATATAAAGATCCACATAAGCAGTTATGGAAAGGAGAATAGTGGAATTGCGTTACAAATACTCAAAACAAATAACTAAATATTGACAAGAACAACGGCAAATTTTCTATTTGGACGAAACTGGGTATGACACGTACGACACAGTTATAAGGATGGACTGATGGTTCGAGAATGTGTACGCCTAACATGCCTGCAAACAAAGGATTGCGACTCATTATTGTGCATTGCGGAGGAAGTAAAAGATGGGTTCCGAATTCTTTAAAATCATGTGGAAAAAACTTGAGAACTGCAATGTTGACTATCATAACAACATGGATGCTAACATTATCGAGAAATGGTTTGAAAACACATTATTCAGTAATGTGAATAAAAACTAGTATAAGCAAATACTAGGTATTTCTTAAGTAAATGCTACGTTTTGTGTGAATAAACACACTAGCACTTGCTAGGGTTAGTAAGTTCTAGAGTTTTCCCAGACGAGTAGTGAATGCTTAAAAAATGGTGTGAATAAAACTTTTGAAGTAGATTGTTCTGTAGCATATGCTTCGATATTTTCAAGCCTGGTCTGGGGCATGCTAGACTTTTTCCAGCATTTACTACCTGTCTGCTCAGTCCACAGTTTGTTGTTGATCATGGCTGAGTTTATGCCTATTCGTCAACGTAAAATTTATTCTGTTCGCTCTGAAATAAACGAACGTAATTGTAAAGAACTGTTAAGATTTAACAGTGAGAGTGTTGATTTCCTTGCGGCACAGTTTCTTGAAGAAAGTGATACTCGTGGCGGTGGTATTTCCAGAAGACAGCAAATGGAAATATTTCTGAGGTTTGTGGGTGATCCTGGCTTTCAGTCTGGTGTAGCTCAAGATGTGGGTGTACATCGTACTACTGCTAACAAGACTATAAGGTACGTGATGAGTAGAGAAGTTGAACAATCACATAATTGGATACGGTTTCCAACTACAGCTGAAGATATGACCGAAGCTAAAGTTTTGTGGCAGAGACATTTTCGTTTGCTGTCTGTAATTGGTGCCCTTGATTGTACTCAAATTGCGATACAAAAGCCTGGGCTGCACGGTACTGAGTATATTTGTAGAAAATGATATCCTAGTATAAATGTCCAAGCAACATGCGATGCATTGGAACAGTTTACAAGTATTAGTGCGGAGTGGCCCGGCAGTGTTCACGAAGGCAGAGTGTGGAGGAATAGTCATGTCAGAGACATCGTGTCACAGTATGATGGAGCAGTTTGTCTTTAAGGAGATTCAGGATACGGTTTATCGCCGTGGTTGATAACACCGTTCAAGCCTCCACGAACGCATCAAGAACGAGAGTTCAATCTAATCCATGCTAGAGGAAGGGTTATAATAGAAAAGTGTTTTGGCCAGTTAAAAAGGAGATTTCCAAACCAGGGAAACTGTGTTAGAGTTACATTAAGCAACATTCCACAAGTGGTAGTCAGTTGCGCTGTGCTACACAACATTGCCAAGCAGCTAAAGGATGAAGTATGGGGATCTTGATAGCGTCCCAAATGAAGATGACCAACCTGGGGTAGTTCGTTATGAAAATCCCGAAACAACATCAAGAGGCAAAGACAAGCGTGCCATCATGATGGCGTATTTGAATATTCAGTGAGGAAATTGTTTTTGTGAAATTGAACTCAGTAACGTTTTCATGTTTTTCTCACGCAAGCACCTACTTGCACACAATTTTGTATATTTTTTTTATTTTTTTTGGGATATAGGTTTTGTTTATTTACTGAATAGAATCATCTTGTTTTATATACAAGTTTTTATTCACACCATTACTGAAATATTTCGAATTACAAGTTTGATTACAATGGTGAGAATTATAATTCTGAGAAGCCTACATCAACTCATCAACAGTTACATCAGTTTGAGTAGACTTTTCAACGGTTTTCAACAATATAGTTTCCTTCTCCAGTTTGATCTTATTCAGTTTGTAGTGTTGCAACAAAACAATCTTTCGCAACTGCATTGTGGACAGGTCTTTAGTTTCATCTGATTCATAATCCTACACAATTTTTTCACTTTTTCTGATCTTATTTTTGTGGTGGTCGGCATCAGATTTAGTTTTAATCGGCTTCTTTGTTTTTTGGCTCTTCGATTCTTCATTTTTATTTGATTTCCCTTCAGTTTCTATATTCGGCAAACTTTCTTGGATGTCATCACTGGTTGGTTGCTGAACTGGGGGCCCGGCACTTATGCCAACTGAAATATTACCCGGAATTTTATGGAATACTTGGTTATCTATCAACTCCAAGAATATTTTTTTCCACGGTTGTGGTTTTATTTTCCTGTTTCCCGTCACTTTTACGTCAGTCTTCTTCTTGACGGTAGACTTCACATTGTTCAATGCTTTCAATAGTTGGCCTACAGTAACTTGTTTCTCCAATGCACAACAGTAATCAGAACGTAAGGTTTCCCAAGCTTCTTTCTTAGCATTCATCACAGCAGGGGTTTCGAATTGCTAAGTAAGACATTGTGATCCAAACAGAGTGCGATCTGATGATGAATACATCTTCTAGCACGTGATTGAACAGAGTGAGAGAGGAGCCGCCGATGTGGAGTAGACTGAAAGGTAGTGGAGGGGAGAAAGTCTCATGACAGGAACGTTAAAACCTAGCATTTACTTGGTCTAGCATGTACTACCCTGCGAGTAAGTGCTTGTGTTTTTCCGGATTCTACTAGACTTGCCCTAATATTTTCTACAAATCTTTATTCACACTGATTTGACCAAATGCTCACTAGACCTAGCATGTGCTAGTTAGAAAGTGCTAGTTTTTATTCACATGTCTCAATGATCCCACATTTGGATATGAATAGTAGTTCTTGACAACGATTCCTATCATTCGCGGCAGTTCATCAAAGTACCGAATAAAAATTCGAGAAAAGATGAAATACAAAGTTTTTCAATGGATAACAATTTGCACTTTGAAAATTACTATATCAAAAACCAACTAGTTGAAGTTTCACGGACAAAAACACTTGAAAAAGTGTATGCCCTTAAGAGTATTGCTGAAAAATATGGACACACCATACTGAGACTTTCCCCTATTTTTGTGTTTTCATCCCATCGAGTTGATTTTAGTTCATCCATCCCGAACAAACACATATTTTCTCTCATCATTTCATTCGAGATGACTGACGTAAAGTTGTTCACTCATATATACAGAAATAAAACATGGATTTAAGTGTTTTTTAATTCACTGAAAATAAAATATGAGAAGTAAATATACAATAATTTGCTCAGTGGCATCAAAGTCCTTTCATAGCCTCTTGTAGATTCTCTTCGCTTCGAAGCCTTCCAAATTCATAATCTATAGCAAAAAAAAACGGTTAGAACCATATTGAACACCTATTTTGAAAATACGTTACCACTTCCAATCCAGAGTCGGTGAATTTGTACAATCTGGAATAGGTCTCACTCCCATTTTCTTTCGCTACAAATTTCAGTGTATCTCCTTCTTTTGTGACGGTGGTCTGGAATATTCGGAAAAGTTCAATCGATTTATTTCTAGAAAAACTGTGAAGATGCATACCTTCGAAACGATACCTTTTTGTAGTTTTTCATCAGATTCTTGACCCAAAACGAAGTGGTTTTCAATATCTTCTCCGAATCCTTCAAGTTTGATTCTAACTCTATCGCCATCTAAGGCCACTGTCATAATTGCCCTAGTTTTGTCGCCAGCAGAGGCCTGCTCATCAGTGGCTCCTGAAATAAGTACCATAGTTAGTGGTGATGAATGATGAATAGTATTCTTCTTGATATTTGATGTGAACAATGCCGACTTAATTTTGAGTCACTTCAAGAATCAATGAGTAACGGTTGTGAACAACTCTCACATTTTTCAATCACTCACAATGAATTATATATTGTTTTTGTGTATGAGTCTCAACCAGAAATTAATATCATTTCTATTACTGTTGAGACTCGAGTTATTTTTCCTTTCAGGAATCGCCAATAAAACTGTATTTTTAGTCTAACAAAATTTTGATGACTTTTCCAAAATAACATCTGATAGTATCATTTTTTTATCGACAACTATATGGTGAGCAAATCAATATAAAAACAAGCAACAAATTGAATAATAAGAAAATCTGAATAATAGTTATTTATGTATCAAGGGAATTAGGAGGGCCTTAATTACCGATGGCAAAGTTTGCGTCCCGAGGGCCTCTGGCCCGAGGGACAGCAATTGCCTGAGGTTATTAAGGCTCATTAATTCCCGTGGTACATAGATAATTTTATTTCTGGCCGATTTCAATAAAATTTTGTTCATTTTTGAAACGGAAAAATGTACCAATTCATTACCTTCCCGGTATATTTGAATCAGGTACCGTTGATTATAGTAGAGTTTTCTTGTTGCTAGGTTGTTGCTATGTTACTTGTTTATAAACAGAACTTTGTTTTTCAAGCTGTGTTTGCGGTGAAAACGTGTTTTCTACCCCAAATATAATGGAGGATATTTTGAAAGAAGCTGAACAAGCAAGAGAATCATTAATTCCATCGAAAAGTGAAGCCGTATACCAAAAAGAATACAAGATATATCTGGACTGGCTGACACGGAAAAATGTTATGCCAAAAGATGTCACTGAAACTGTATTTCTGGCATATTTTCAAGAACTGGTAAGGAATTTTCTATGTTTTTCGGTAGATTTGGTAGTAATTGTGTTTATTCGTTTCAGTCAGAAACGTATAGTCCGAATTCTTTATGGACTAAATGGTCAATGCTAAAATCGATGGTGACTATACATGAGAAACGAGATATCACCAAGTTCAATGAACTACAGGCTTTTTTGAAACGGAAGAGTAAGAGTTATAAGCCGAAAAAGTCCGCTGTTTTATCTCCTAAAGATGTTATCAGATTCCTAAAGGACGCTCCTAATGATATTCATTTATTGCATAAGGTAATTTTTTTCTTATTTTCCTTTTTGTGTGTATTTATTTCCTTGTTTTTGTTATAGGTTGTTTTGATTATGGGTTATTTTGGAGGATGCAGAAGTCAGGAACTTTTGAATATGAATATATCGGATATAGAGGACCGGGATTCCGTTATGGTAGTGAACGTACCGAAAAGTAAAACTGGTGTATCGAAGAAATTTACAGTTGTGGATGAAAAAGAGTTCTCCGCTTTGCCTTTATTAAGACTTTATATGTCTTTGCGTCCTAAAGGTATTGAACGATTTTTTTTGAGCTTCCGACAAAATAAATGTACATCTCAGCCAATTGGAAAAAACATGTTTGGGAAAATCCCCAGCAAAATCGCAATGTATTTAGGATTGCCAAACTCATCTTCCTATACGAGACATTGCCTTCGTCGCACTTCTGCTACTGCTCTAGCCAATGCAGGAGCAACTATGACTAACTTAAAAAGACACGGAGGTTGGAAAAGTTCCACGGTGGCGGAGGGGTATTTGGAGGATAGCATCGAATTGAGAAATAAAACGACGCGTATGTTGTCTACTTTGTCATCAGAAGAGGCAGGTACCTCGACTGTAGTGAACAGAAGCTCCAGCCATACAAAAGAAGAAATTGTTTCCAGTGGCGGAAGTAATTTTCAGGGAACATTTCAAAATTGTACATTTATTATTTGTAATGACGTGAATAAATAAAATATGGTTCAGTTTTCATTTCTATTTATTTTTACTTGTGAAAGGTAGAGGGAATTATAAAATCTATAATGTCCCAAGGGAGTTATGACCCTCTTTATTGATAGCGTAACTATGACGATATAAGCTTATAATATCCCGGTCAGAAATAAAAACAATTACATTTGGTTTTTTCACTAAAATCTCACAGCGTTGCAAGAGAAGCTATGCTAATGCGTGAAATATGGGATTCCATTAAAGAATTATTGAAAACGTCACAGAAATGGGGATTGGTTTGTCAATAAAAATAGACTTTCTTCAATCTAAACCAAATCTAACATATGACAGATTATGTTCTCGAAATGACTTTCTGCAGTAGTATTTAGGAGTTACGTTAGGGTAGGTTGGGTCCAGAATAGGTGGGTCTATTCGATCCTCCACCGCAACCCATGAGGGTTTATTGTGACTCACACCTATTCACACTCGACCAACTAAACCCAGGTTCACAACGAAGCCGATTAGTTTGTACGGTGAGTGGTCTTTTAGGTCAGATGGTAAAAGAACGGCTTTGCCAAACTGTAAGAAGGCCTGTTAGACATTGTAGTTCATCCCTACTGTAATCCAACAACTGTTTGGTATCAAGCTTCGAAGGGTGTATAAACGCCTTGGAGTGAGCCAATCCTGGAAGATTCTGCCAAAAGTCCATAAATCTTCTTGCCATCCAGGTGTTCAATTTTTGTTTGGCAAAGCCTAAAGCGACGCCAATGACAGGTTCTGGTCCAATGAATCTGTATGCAGCACCCTCCTTTGCAAGAGAGTCAGCAGCCTCATTGCGTTCCAGGCCAGTATGGCCAGGAATCCAGACCAGAGACAATCAGTTGAGTCTTCCTGTCGAGGAGAGTCGTTTTTGACAATTTGCTACCAATTCAGACGTTGCTCGGTAGGAGCCAAGAGCTTCCAACGCCGCGAATATTGTTATTGACTTGTGCATAATGTTGGATTCATCCAATCTCTCCGCACACAATTCAATACCGTAAACTGGGGTGAATAGGGACAGTTTTGAAGGTTTTTTGAAAATCCTGACCAATCGGACAACATTTTTCAAAATGTTTTTTTATGATATCATGGCATACGCCCTAAAGTTACGAACTGACATACTGCATATGATCATATTTTTATTGGTTTTTATATATATTTTTTTTAATGGGTGTCCCTATTCGCCCCCGTAGTGGGGTCAATAGGGACACGTCTATATTTCTTGTATACGTCCCTATTCAATACTTCTATGGGGCGAATAGGGACTTTGTATTTATTTTAAAAAGTTTTTAGGACATTATGACATCATTTTCAGGAAAAAAACTTTATTTCAAAATATATAAAAGTATCTCTTAAAGCTGAATTATGTCCTAAAGGTGTGCCTTCCTCTTTGAATATTTGGGGGAGGTAATACATCCACAACTTGCTCCCTGTCAAATTCACATTCATCTGGAACATCCGGAAATACATATATGGATGCCATTTTAGATGTCTGTCTTAGGAAAGTCCCAAGAAATTTTTGCCATAAAATACTTTGTCAACTCCTCTGTCATATTTGAATTTTACGCTTACCCAGTCACCTATTTTCAGCTCCTCAATTTTTTTTCTGTTGTCTTCTGAATTGCTTATTATTTTATTTTCTTCTTGTCCACCTACTACATCTTCAATTAGTTCGCCCTCATTTTCACCGGAATTTTCTCCTTCCAGATCACTCTGATGATCATCATCTCTAATTTCGTCAGCGTTATCACTCTGATGACCATCATCACTACTTTCGTCAGTGTTAGTTTTGAAGTCGTCAGGACCAATGCTTCGACCTGGTGGAACAAGAAGTCTTTTTTTTCTAGTTTTTTTGGATTCTTCATTTCCATAGCGCATTTCTTGCAAAAATGTAGTGAGACTGTCATTTAGCGGAATATCCGGATTTTCTCTTGGTTCAAAAGCAGGAAGTCTTTCAAGAACCCTGTGTCTGTTTAAAGGACACAAGCCTGACTTCTTAAAACCTGATAATATGGCGTTTTTGAGACCATCCTCTTTCTTCATTCTAATTAAAGTTTGATTTAGGAGTCCAGGAAATAATTTTTTATCAAACGGCTGATTGGTATTCTTTGCTTTGACCTTAGTTTGTTCTAAAACCGCTCTCCAATGGGTCTTAAGGGACCTAAAAACAGCAACGTCTAACGGCTGGGTTAAGTGGCTTGAGTTTGCTGGCAAAAAAGAAAATGAGATGTTATTCTCCACGCAAGTCTGAACTACAGCCGGGGACAAATGTGAACTCAAGTTGTCCCCAATGAGGACTTTTCTCCCTTCAAAACGTCGGACATATGGCAAAACAATTTTTTGAAGCCAGTCAAGGAAGCAGTGTCCATCAATCCATCCTGATTTGCTTCTGTTATATTTTGTCCCTTGGGGACCACCTTGGATCCAAAGGTCATACAAATGTACCGCCTTGTATATAACATAAGGTGAAAGGAGTTCACCCGATGCAGTTGCAGCGAACATTACTGTAACTCCGGCTTTGGTCTGGTTCGGGATATTTGCATCCCTTTTTGAAAATTAGCTTACGCCGCCCAGGATCATCCGATAGAGCAGACTCGTCGTAATTTATTATGAGATGAGGCGGTACATTTTCCAAGGTGGCACCAAGTTCTTCAAAGAAGGCGTTGATGTTTTCAGGACTTACAGCGGCCCTACTTCTCTTAATATTTTGGCATATTCGTTGTGAAAGCTGATTTCGATGCCTGTTGATAAAACTAAGTGCCCAATCGGACCCCGGCAGATTGTCCTTGAACTTTGGTACCTAGCGTAAATCCATTTGAAATACAGTCGCAAAGTAGGAGTAGTATTTTATCATTTTGAGAGTGGACATCTACTTTCCGACGCAAAGACTAGATGATAAGAATCGAAAAATAAAAGGTACTTCTTGTATTCGCCTGTTATTTTCATCCAGTCATTTTCATCTCCCATTTTTCAATCTCCCTGAAGAAATGAAATATTCACTTTGACCAGTTGAAACAGTAGCGAACTTTTTCACAATATTACCTAAATTTTGGTGAGTCAAGAAATGATGATTTTCAAGACAATATA